GGCCTAGTGCCAAAATTTATGCATGGGGGCAGAGCGGGTGTCCCTTCAACCTAACCTGACTCTCTCCAATCCAGGACCATTGGGGGATGTCTGACTACTGGTCCAGACAGGCAGATGGACATCCCTCTCACAATCCTGGACTGCTGGCTCCTAATTGCTTACCTGCCTGCCTGCCTGGTCACCCCTAAATGTCACCCCCTGCCAGCCACGTCACCCCCAACTGCCTCCTCTGCCAGCCTAGTCACCCCTCACTGCCCCCCTGTGAGCCTAATCACCCCCCTCTGCTACCCCTTCCTGCATGGTCACCCCTATCCTTCCTGCTGACCTGGTTGCCCCACACAGCCTACTGTTCAGTCGTTTGGCCATCCCTTACTAACCCCCCTGCCAACCTGGTCACCCTACACAGCCTGCTTGTTCAGTCATTTGGTAGTTCCTCAGGCTGGCCCTGGGCAGCTGGGTAACCGCCATCCCAGGCTTGCCTGTGCCTTGGGCCAGCCATGGGTAGCTGGGGAGCTGAGAGGACTCAGTGCCTCCATCTTGTGGCTGTAGGTGCTTCCATCTTTGAGGGCATGGCAGTCAATTAACATATTCCCTCATTATTGGCTGTTGGCACTGCCATCTTTGAGGGTGGGGCAGTCAATTAGCATATTCCCTCTTTATTTGCTGAGGGTGTTGCCATCTTTTGCAACAGCATGAAGGTCAATTTGCATATTCCCTCTTTATTAATATAGGATGACAATTAATCACATAAAAATGCTCAACATTATCAGTCTCTAGGAAAATGTAAATTAAGAACACAATGACATACTACTTCCTATCCACTAGAATGGTTAAAGGTAAAGAGATTGACTATATTAAGGTGGCCAAGATGTAGAACAACTGTAACCATCATAGACTGATAGTAAAAATGTAAAAAGAGACACCATTTTGGAACACAGTTTGGTGATTTCTTTAAAAGCTATACACACACCTATCAAAAGACCCAAACCTTCCATTCCTAGATATATACATAAGAGAATAGTGTCTCCTCTAAAATTCATGTTGCCATATGAATTTTAGACCAAATCTGATTTCCACTCACTCCCTTTATGCTCGATCTTCAACTTCCAAGAGCCTTCAGTCCACTTTTATGTCTACAGTCTCCTAAGCCATGTCCCACCCATCTTTACATCCTATCAACTTTGATCTCATGGTTCATTGATCTAGCCACCTCTCAACTACATCCTCCATTCCTGTTTTCTCTTTCCCTCAACAGTACCAGACCAGCCAACTCCCATACCATACCACCCAACTGCCTTCCCAGTTTGCATGTTTGGATGGCGCAGGACTGCTGGATATGGCTTAGAAAACAATGCTCTCCAGCCTCAGTTGGGGCTTTTACACCACACAGCAATACTTGGCCCAATCCTCTCACAAATAATCCAAACTTCCAAGGCTTCAAACTCTCCTCAAGCTCCCTTAGACTATCATACTTTCTCTCATTTTCAAATAATTGATTTGCCCTCAGAAAAACTAGAGGTCTGAATAAATGCTCCAACTCTTTGCTGCACCTATGTATTTAATTTATCCACTATCCTTGATTCCTTCCCTCTAGTCCCAGAAAAAGAGTTGGCTTTACTTCAACCCACCAGAAGTGCTCTGGATTAATCCCTGCCCCTTCTGCCTCAGCAATACTACAAAACCCTGGCCCAATTCACTGTTCTTTAACCATAGATACTTTTCTTATCGCAGGGCAGTGTGGACTGGCAGCCATTGCTGTTTGCTCCACCCTGGTGATTCCCTGAGACCCCATCCCCCCAATTTACAACCCCACCCATACTGTGTGCAGCAGCTTTTGCATAAGAATGGCCTGTTTAGGTTCTTGTAACCTAAAACCTAAGAAACTGCAGCTGAGTGAGAGAGCTCCAAAGAGTCCAAAAGAAAGCCTAAGGCCCTGCAATAGCAGCCTGCATTGGTTCAAAGCTGGGCCTCATCTATTCCAAACCCCAAATAAAGAGAGGAATCTGCAGATCTCTCTGTAGCTCCTGCTGGTTGGCATCAGGCAGGGGCTGACTTTGCATCTCCTTGGAGATCCAAGAGCCAAGAGTCAGGGGTCAGTGTGAGACCATACCACATTACAATTCTAAACATCTATAAGCGACACATTGAAGGGGCAGACTCAGTGAGCACCAAAGGCCCACTGAAGCAAGTCTTGCCCCATAAGGGTGTCTCCAGCACAGAAATTCTCCCATTGTAGACACAGCTGGTCCTCATAGCAAGTTGACCTGCAGGTCAATTCCTCCAGGTGATACCAACAACAATCAAGGCTTAACTATAACAAGACTGTGCACACAGCCCACAAAGGGATGCACCAAGAGTGTCCACCACAGGTAATTAGGGAGGCTGAACCACTGGGCCCTATAAGACATCTAGCACACAAGCCACTATATCAACACAGGAAAGCAGCCAAAATGCAGAGACAAAGAAACATGTCACAAATGAAAGAAATGAAGGAAAGCAAAATAGTGGATAAAGAGTTCAAAACCACGATTATAAGTTTATTCAAGAATCTTCTAGAAACCTCCAAGAAATTTAGTAAGACCCTCAAGGATATGAAAAAAGGACCAATCAGAAATTAAGCATACACTAACTGAAATAAAGAATAACATACAGAGATCCAATAGCAGACTAAAGGATCGCAAGAATCAAGTCAAAGATTTGAAATACAAAGAAGCAAAAAAACACATAACAGGAAAAATAAAAATAAAAAAGAATCCAAAATATGAAGATAGTGTAAGGAGCCTCTGGAACAACCTCAAGTGTACCAACATCCAAATTATGTTGTGCCAGAAGAATAGAGAGAGCAAGATATTGACAACCTACTTGAAGAAATAATGACAGAAAACTTCCCCTACCTGATGAAAGAAATAGACTTATAAGTTCAGGAAGCGCACAGAACCCCAAACAAAAGGAATCCAAAGAGGACCACATCAAAACACATCATAATTAAAATGCCAATGGCAAAAGACAAAGAGAGAATCTTACAAGCAACAAGAGAAAAACAGTTACCTATAAGGAGCACCCATACGACTGTCAGCTGATTTCTCAACAGAAACTATGCAGACCAGACAGGAATGGCAAGAAATATTCAAAGTGATGAATAGCAAGACCTACAACCAAGATTACTCTACCCAGCAAAACTATCATTCAGAATTGAAGGTCAGATAAAGAGATTCACAGACAAGAAAAAGTTAAAGGAGTTCATCACCACCAAACCAGGATTACATGAAATGCTGAAGGGTATTCTTTAAGGAGAGGAAGAAGAAAAAGGTAAAGATAAAAATTATGAACAACAAAAAGACATCAAATACATACCTACCAACAAGTGGATCTAAAAATCAAGTGAATAAAAAGTCTGAAGAACAGAATGGACTGGTGAATATAATGGAATTAGGGACATAGAAAGGAAGGGGACTGAGAATTCTCAGGGGGAAAGGGGTCTGAGGGGTGTGGAAAGAGATTACACCTATGGATGATGACAGTGGCAGAGGGGTAAGGGCATGGAATGAGGAGGGGAATCAGGTGGAGGGGAGATATGCGCGAGAAAAAAAAAAAGAGGAACACCTGTAATAATCTGAACAATAAAGATTTATTTTAAATAAATAAATATAAAAAAATAATCGATGTAGCCAAAACCAGTTTGGCTCAGTGGATAGAGCGTCGGTCTGCAGACTGAAAGGTCCCAGGTTCGATTCCGATCAAGGGCATGTACCTTAGTTGCGGGCACATCCCCAGTAGGGGGTGTGCAAGAGGCAGCTGATCGATGTCTCTCTCTCATCGATGTTTCTAACTCTCTATCCCTCTCTCCTTCCTCTCTGTAAAAAATCAATAAAATATATATTTAAAAAAAAAAATCAATGTAAAGTACTTAGCATCACTTGATGTTAACTATGATTTTATCAATAAAGTCAGCTGAAAAGTATTCCATAAAATGGAGATTTTTTATGAACCAGATACTGACTTTATTCTGAGGATTAAAGCTTTTCATATAATCTAGGGGCATTATCTGACATTTTATGTCCGGCCAGTGTGGCTCCATGGTTGAGCATCAACCTATGAACCAGGAGGTCATGGTTTGATTCCTAGTCAGGGTACATGCTTGGGTTGCAGGCTCGATCCCCAGTGTGGGGTGTGCAGGAGGCAGCATCACTGATGTTTCTATCTCTTTCTCCCTCTCCCTTCCTTTCTGAAATCAACAAAAATATATGATCTGACACTTTAAGTCAAGATAGGAAGGCAGAACAATTTTCACTTCTTGTTTTTATTTAGTACTTTGAAGAAAAAGCATTCATCGAGATGATGGCAGCTTTTCCTCAAAATAAAAGCATTTTACATCTACTTAATCTTGGTAAACCAGCACAAAGCCCTGAAGACTAGCAATATAAAGCTATTGAAAATAATCCAGAGAATCAAATTCAATTCTAAGAAAACTTGGGAGGTAACTTTGTCATCTTAAACTCTCTTGACTAAAAAAGTTGTGAGAAACCATAATACTTTCATGGGAGTTTACTGAACACAGTTTTCTGGAAGCATTTAAAGAATAAGCATCATCTTTTTGGCTTAAGCGCACTTGTGTCCAGATAAAATAGGACTGACTTTAATAGATGGATAATAGTCTGACCCAATTGTTCCATGAAATTCTAAAGCAATCTCCCGTAAAGGCTGGCAACTATGGCCAGTAGGACAAATCCAGTCTCCTGCTTCTCTTTGCATTAAAAAATAAATAAAATCCAATCTACTGCTTATTTTCATAAATGCAATTATTACTGAAACACAGCCATGCTCATTCATTTATGTATTGTCTATAGCTGTTTTCACTACAACAGCAGGGTAGAAAAGTTGCAAAAGGGACTATATGACCCATAAAGCTTAAAGTATTTACTATCTGTCCTTTTAGAGAAAAAAATTGCCATCCCCTGCTCTAGACACCAAGAATGCAATAAAACCTGGTCCAGACTCACCTGAGGTGTTGTCTTTTTGTATTGGTCACCTCCATCTATCACATCGCTCAGGATTTTTCTCTTGAGGAGCTCATATTCTTCTGCACTCAAGTGAATAGACTCTAAGGTTTTTCCACAGCCCAAACATTGACCACTGTAATTACAACTGTTTGTGTTAAATAGTGTCCTGGAAAAGGACTTTTTAAAAAATAAATAATTCTAAGACATGAGGAAATTGAAAGATAATTTTAAAAAATATATAGCCTTTATGATAATCACATGCATTATATGATTTTTTTTTTTTGTACACCTGGTAATATCACGCATTAGTATGCCAGAAAACACAAAAGAGTAGACTGCTGGGCATCCAGATAAGTTTTACAAGTTATTCCTAAAACACAAGTAGGAGAAAACATCTCTGATGCTTCACAAGGGCTCACAGAACCGACAGGAAAAACACTTTGAGCACCGACTATGCAAAACATGGCTTTTATCTTGGGAACTCTAACTCTTAATTATTTTATCTCTAAGACATTCAGGAATTAAAAGGTTTTAAACAGTAGCAAAACAACCTATTAAACCTGAATCAAACAAGTTAAAAATAAAACATTGGCCTTACTTTTTCTGGATTGTGGTAAATTGTCCTTTCCATTGTTCTCCAGGAACACTAAAATAAATTAAAAATAAAAAAAGTCTGCAAAACCAAATCATCAGTTCAGATACCTACTGAATACAAAGTTTAGAAACTAGATAGGCAAGAACTCTGAAAAGTCCAGACTATTTCCCTAGAGGTTTCATTAGAAGAATGGTTGATATACTGTAATTGGGCCAAGAAGCTTATGGTACCCCTCCCCTACTCTGGATCTCCTTCTACCCTTCACTTCCCTCATGTGACCCTCATCTTCAACTCTAAATCTACCTTCACAGGACCTGTACAGAAAGCAGCTGATATTAATAGTGTAATCTCTTAATTAAACTCAACTCTAACCTTCTCCATAAAGCTGCCAGAGATTGTTCCTGCCCATGATACAGGAATTTCTTTTATACTTTCTTATGCCACTATTATTTTTTTAAATGTTTTTATTTATTTTAGAGAAAGGAGAGCGAGCGAGAGAAACATCAATTGGTTGCCTCATGTACTCACCCTGACCAGGGATGGAACCCACAGCCTGGGCATGTGCCCTGACCAGGGATCGAACCAGCAACCTTTTTGGTACATGGAACAACACTCAATCAACTGAACCACTCTAGCCAAAGCTACTACTATTATTTAACTGACATGTATTGCATTCCCAATTGTGAATGCCATAAAAGATCTTGTGTCACAAAATATCCTTAGTGGCTATCCTAATTAGTGGTATTCAAAATACTTATTTGTTCAACTTACCATTTCTTCTTTCCTTCTACATATACCACCATGATTCTATTAATTCTATTGCTTTCTCTTCTTCAGTTCTTAATTCAGAATCTTATCATCTCTCATTCAAACCTATAATTGCCTCCAAACATATTTGTTTTCAATTTTAATCCCTCTCCAATCTTCTTTTTCACTGTTTTGGCAGTTACCGTTCTAAAATTCCACTCCTAGACAAACACTCTTGATAACAGAATAAAATCTAAATCATTGCAAAAATTTTCCACATTCTAGTGCTTCTGTTGATATTCAATAAGTTTATTAAATAAGATAATTCAGCCCTAGAAAGTTTGGCTCAGGGGATAGACTCAAACTGAAAGGGCTGAGGGTTTGATTATGGTACCATGGTTGTTGGCTTGATCCACCAAGCCCAATCGATTTGTCTTCCTCACATCGATGTTTCTCTCTGTCTATCCCTTCTATGCTCTCTAAAAAAATCAATAAAGGAATATCTTTGAGTTAGGATTAACAAACAAAAAATATAATTCAGCTTGATTACCACTTCAAAGCTTTGATGATACATAATAGAAAAAGAGGGAGGGAAAATGAGAGAAAAGGAATAAAATTTTGGGAAATAGCCTGAAGCAAATTAATGGTGAAGAAATAAAGTTAAAGACTGAAGCAATAAAAAGGCACAAAGCCAGTAACATAAAAAAAAGCAAAGGAAAGTCATTGGAGAACTTTGGAGAAAGAAGTTTAATGATAGAAAGATGTAAAATGAATGCAAGGATGAAGATTGTTCATGCTAATGCTTACATATCAGAGTTGATAAGGATCTCCCCCTCAACTCTTGAACTATCCAAGTTGATGAAGTACTATGAACTCCAGGCACAAGTGCTATTTATAAGTACTTACATCTTGCCAGATACTTCAGAAAGCAAAATATAATAAGTGATCCTTCTAAATAGGAAAACACATAAAAACTACAAATTCTCTATCATTTCCCTTTTATGTGATGAGTAGAGATTAACACAATTTGTTTATGCTGCTTTTTTTAGAGAAGGAAGATTTTGTCTTAAAGGGAAACAAATCTTAAGAGATGGGAAAGGTACTATAAATCGGAATAATCTCAGCAACCAATAAAAAAAGGCAGCTATATAGGTATTAAAATAAAGACATACAGAAAAGGAAAAATCAAAATTACCTCTCAAACCATGTTTTTATACTGTGTGCAAATGATTCCCCGGGATATAGCTGATTATTTCTTAGATACAAAAGAATGTCTAGCAGTTTCTTTGAATATTGATCATCTTTTATGTCTTTTCCAAAATCAAAGAAGGCTTTCAAAGTTTCCATCATAGGAATAAGATCATGATCTAACAATTCCTGAAACAAATTCCAAGCTATGTCTACATCTTGATGAAGGAGAGCTCCCTGGATACAGTCACCGTAATTCTTTTTTGAAGGGGTCATGACTTTTTTGATGTCTTCTAACAGCAGCAAAGCCTCTCTCCATCTGTCTGAATGGATTAATCCTCGGATGAGCAGAGTGCTTGCTGAAGTTTCTAAAGTCTTGTATCTGGCTTTTAAGATTTCATAGACATCAAAAACTTCTGATGTCTGCTTATGAAAGACACAGAGACACAAATACTTGACCAGCAAATTATAGCTTACAATACCATTATTTTTTGCAGCTACCCAGGCCAGCAAAGATTTGGCCACATCTATAGAGCTATTGCAGTTAATCATCTGTAAAATGATCCAATCTTCAAAATTAGCTTTTCCTTTGAAATCTTCTTTAAGTTTATCCCACTGCTCTGAATTCAAAGGTTTGGTTGGGAGCTGAATAATGTTTCTCTCAGGTGACAAGGCAAGATCTTGATTATGAGGATTCATTTGAGATCTTTTCTTAGCTGCTCCAGCTGCAAAAAGGTGAGGAAACTCAGAAGAAACTTTATTACTGCCCTCATCTTCCTTTCTGCGATATCTGGCCTTGGCAGTCAGGTTTACTGCTTTGGTATTTTGTGGAGACACTGTTTTAAGAGAAAACAACTTCTGTTGGTTCCTGATGCCATAACCATCTTTCAGAAAGAAAGAGTTGTAAGAGTGTCCTGGGCCGACTCCAAGATATGGGTTGTTTTTCCAAAGCTTAGGAAAGCTTCTAATAGTAGTGAAACAGAAATTCATTGTGCAGGGAGATCAGCAGATGGTGAAGAAAAAAGCCCTTACTTCTACCGCATAATGCACGAATGTGGGGAGGAGAAGGAGGGGACGAGTCGAAGCGTATCTTTTTAAAAGACGACTTTCAATTTCTCACAGAAAAACCAAGGCTCTGCTTTTGCGGTTACTTAATGGCAATGAAGTCTCATGAGTTTTCTCCGTTAAGCAATGTTGGTCCGGGGACATCCGATGTCTGCCGCAATCGCAGAGCCGGAGCAGGAATCGCTGGTGCCCGTTACAGTCCAGTCCGCGAACCTGAGGAAAAAGCACAAGGAGAACGGACCAGTTTGACTCCCGGGAATCACAGCTGTCCCTGAGAAGGGATAGGATGCCCTGGGTGCCTTGCTGCAGGCGAGGCGTCAAGTCGAATATCGTGACCCGGAGGCCCAGCCCCACCTGCGAGGGCAGCGGCGAAAGCCAGGCTAGCGGCCCTGCCCGCAGAACCCCCGTCCCCAAACCGCCGGACTCCACAGGCCAGGGAATGGGCTGGGGGAGGAGGGGAGAGGCCGGGCCAACACTCAGGGAAGGGAGGGAGGAAGGGCCACAAAGGGCTCTGCCTACGGCGCACAGATCAGTCACAAACAAGTTCACTTCATTCCACCACTCACCGGAGCACGCACGCGGTACGGACGCAACCATAGCCGCGGCCGAAACTACCGCGCCCACAATGCACCGCGCCGGCCCCGCCGCGGGGCGCGGCTGAGCTGGGCGCCGGCCTGGCGGCGAGAGGAAGGCGGTTTTGAAGCTTTTATTGGCAGAGAGAGCCTTGGGGGGGTGTTAGTCAAGGCGTCTGCTACATTTAGGGGAACTTTTAGGGCCTCCATATATCCTCCAGGAACCATAAAAAAGAAATTGTGGAGAAAACGCTTCCCGGAAGCGCCCAAGGACTCCTGGGTCACGTGGTGCCGACGCGCCAAAGGCCCCAGAGGAAATCCAAGTGCGGGCGTCCCTCTCCTGCGCCTTCACCATCGGGCGCCGTGGCCTTGGGAAGCCGCCTGGAGGACGTCATTTTCCGTCTTTTCTCCCGCCTGCTCTCCCCGCTGTTGGTGTGACCGCCGCTTTCTCCGCAGTGACCACATTCACCGTTTTTTGCCTCCGTGGCCGACTTCCGCCCGCGCTCAAGATGGCGGCCGAGCGGCCTCCGCAGCCTCCGGGAGGCCGGCCGCCGGCTGAGGTCTGAGCTGGTGGCGAGGGGAGCGGTTAGCAAACGCTGGAGCTGCAGCGCGGGAGTCAGCCATGGACTGGAAGGAAGTCCTTCGCCGGCGGCTGGCGACGCCCAGCAACGGCCCCAGCAGTGAGTCCGGGGAGGGCGGTCCGCGGAGAGCGCCGGGCCTCACCTCCCTGAGGGGGGGCTGGGTGGGAGGAGCCGCGCCGGGAGCCGCCGGGAAAACTCTCCCGGGAAAGCGGGCGGAGTGGGATGTGGGTCCGAGGCCCGGGGGTGGGTTTGGCCCACACTCCCCCGAGGAAGGATTTGCGGGACGGAGAGCTCACAGATGGAGGAGGAATGAGAACCCCGGTTCCAACAACTCTTGGGTCCCACCATTGATCCTGCCGCCTTTAGACTATCACCTTTCCCTTCCCTCCTAATCCACTCAAATGTCTTACATACTCAATTTTTCTTTGTCCCTTTGCCTATCCTTCCCTCTTGCTCGTTGACCACCCTGTTGAAAACCCCTTCCTATTTCACACCCGCACCCAAGGCAGCTGGAAGTGCTGGGGAAAACTAAGGTGACCAGGCGACCCACTTCTGGCGGGACAGTCCCGCTTTTGAACAGTGTGTTTTAAAAACGCCGCGGGACAAACTTAAAAATCGGGACGTCTGCCGAAACCGGTTTGGCTCAATGGATAGAGCGTCGGCTTGGGGACTGAAGGGTCCTGAGTTCGATTCCGTTCAAGGGCATGTACCTTGGTTACAGGCAAATCCCCAGTAGGGGGTGTGCAGGAGACAGCTGATCGATGACATTCTGTCATCGATGTTTCTAACTCTCTCTCTCCCTTCCTCTCTGTACAAAAATCAATAAAATATATTTTTTAAAAAGAAAATCGGGACGTCTGGTCGCCTTAGGGAAAACGAGGGCACACTGTCTCCCTTTCAGTTCTTGTCCACTAACGGCAAGTAAGTGTTTCAGTCATTCGTTTACATTTCTTAAATATTTCCCTGGATCAGTGTTTCCCAAACTTCTCTCATGATGAGAATCACCCGGTGGAGTTGTTAAAATACAGATTCCTGAATCCCAACTAAGAAGTGCTAAACTAGAATTCTGGGGAACATATAGGTGAAATTGTATACTCAGCTGCTGAACTTGTCTGTGTAAATATTTGAGAGTAGAAGCAGTCAAAGCACCTCACCTGTTCCCACTTACCATGTCTGTCACCGCCCCCGCTCTGGTTAAACATGGGGAACTGTCCCGGCCCCTGTTTGAGACAGTCCCTTCCTCCACTCCACACTAGATCGTGTCCCCTTTCTTTTATCCACTGACTTCACTCTGGCTGTATCCTCTCTCTCATGTGTCATCCAATTTTCCTTCTCTGCCAGATAATTTCCATTAGTTCCAACAAACATGCCGTAATAGTCCTCATCTTTAAAAAAAATAATAATTTGCTCTCATATTCCCCTCTAGCTTTAGCCACACTTTATAGGAAAACTTTCTGTAAAAGTTACCTGTACTTGTGCCGGCATAAAACCCACTCCATTGCATGTTTGTTAACATGCTAATTACTACTCTTCCAGGCCACAGCGAACACAACACACAAAAACCCTTGTTCTTGTAGAACTTACACTTTAGCATCGGAAGAGAGGATAAAAATGAGTAAATCATACAGGTTGTACAACTTCTGTTTAAGAGTGTTTGCTTCCTTGGTGTGCTAGATAGGTCCCATTTTTGCCTACTACTCAAGGATATATCCACTCTCTTCTGCATTCTTGGGTTTTCTTTCTCATTCATTCACAGCAGCATATGAACATGGTGGTATTTCTCTCATCTTAGAGACTCTTAACTTCCACATCCAGCTATTTCTCTGTTCCCTTGTATCTTCATCCTACACATACTTTCTTTTTTTAGTTTCTAATAGACATACACTCTTATTTTTCCTCCTGCCTCGCCAGTCATTCCTTCTCAGTATGCTTTTTCTTCCTCTTCTCCCCAACAACTTAACATTGAAGTGACATAGGTTTGGGACTTATAAGTTAAATCTGTAAAAGGTGAAATGATAGAGGAAAAAGAAATTTAAAAAAAGAAGAAACGTCCAAAACATAGGAGAATCAACAGCATGGTCTCAGGAAAGCCAAGGAAAGGTTAGACTCAATAATATCAAATTTAACAGAGAAACCAAGAACAGATGTATCCATTAAACTGAGCAACAGAGTGGAGGAGTAGTGAAGGGTAAAGGGGCCAAGCATACGGGCATAGAAGATGATATGACTTTGGGTAATACGGATTATGTATCGGAAATGTACACTTGTGGCGGGTGAAGGGCCGTGGGGACGCGCCTCATGGGGCCGGCGGAGCGGGCCGCCTCGCGCATCCTTCGAGCCGCCTCGCGCCACCGGCGCGGCCATGGCGACCAGCTCTCAGCAGAAGGAGAACAGCTGCTCCACCTCTTCGCCGGCGGGTGCGGGGGCATGGTTGGTGCTATTTTCGCTTGTCCACTCGAAGTCATTAAGACAAGGCTGCAGTACCCTCAGGTTCACCTGGGCCACTGATGGCGCTGGAGTGGTGAGACCAACGTCGGGGGCGCCTGGACTTCTCCAGGTTCTGAAGTCAATCTCAGAGAAGGAGGGACCAAAGTCACTTTGTAGAGGCTTGGGTCCAAATTTGGTTGGAGTTGCACCGTCAAGGGCCGTGTACATTGCATGCTACTCCAAAGCCAAAGAGCAGTTCAATGGCATTTTCGTGCCTAACAGCAATATTGTGCACACTTTCTCAGCTGGCCCTGCAGCTTTTATCACAAATTCCCTGATGAATCCTATATGGATGGTTAAAACCCGGATGCAGCTAGAATGGAAGGTGCGCAGCTGTAAGCAGGTGAACACGCTCCAGTGTGCGCGCCACGTCTATCGGACGGAAGGCATTCGCAGCTTCTGCCGGGGATTAACTGCCTCGTACGCGGGGATCCCAGAAACTGTCATCTGCTTCGCTGTTTATGAAAGCCTGAAGAAGTATCTGAAGGACGCTCCGTTCACCCCCTCCGCAAACGGGACTGAAGAATTCCGCAAGCGTTTTTGGACTTAGGCAGCTGCTGCTGTGTCTAAGGGATGTGCCTCTTGTATCGCCTATCCACGAAGTGCTAAGGACGCGGCTGCGGGAGGCAGGCCGCTCGGCTGGTCTTCGGGAAGAAGGCTACCTTGCCTTCTATCGAGGACTCTTTGCCCAGCTCATCCGGCAGAACCCCAGCACGGCCATTTTTCTGTCCACCTATGAGCTGATTGTGTACCTGTTGGAAGACAGTCCTCAGTAACAGGCCGAAAATTATGCACCGGAAGAATAAAACTGCAAAACTCGATATTTTTCCCCCATTGATGTTTAGAAAGTACGAGGCCGATACAGGAAAGGCCATAAAATATGTGGCTCGCTCACCTGTCGGACATTTCCTTTTGGATTCATGTTTTCTGGAAGGTTTAAATTCATTAACGTTAATGAATTTTAACGTTTGTTGTGTGTGTGTGTTTTTTTTAAGAGGATTCAGGATTCAGCAGCAAGTAAATTAAATCATGCTATTTAATTTAAAAAAAAGAAAGAAATGTACACTTGAAACCTATATAATCTTATTGGACAATGTCAACCCAATAAAAATAATTTAAAAAATAAATAAGCAATTAGGTCATTGGTCGTCCTGGCAAGAAACTCTACAGTTTCTGTAGATTGGTAAGAGTAGAAGCAGGGCCGGGACCGGTTTGGCTCAATGGATTGAGCGTCGGCTTGGGGACTGAAGGGTCCCGGGTTCGATTCCGGTCAAGGGCATGTACCCAGTAGGGGGTGTGCAAGAGGCAGCTGATCGATGACTCTCTCTCATTGATGTTTTTAACTCTGTATCTCTCTCCCTTCCTCTCTGTAAAAAATCAATAAAATATATATTAAAAAAAAAAGAGTAGAAGCAGGATTACATAAAGAAGAGGTGAGAGATACAAAAGCAAAGATGGCCAGCGTAGGCTTTCTTTTTGAAAAATTGTATGAGAAAGGAAGGAGTTAGGTGTGGTAGTAGATAAAAGGAAGGAGTTTTGGCGGGTAAGGAGATGGAAGAAACCTCTGTGTTTGTAAATTAAAGAAAAGCAGTAAAGATGAAGGAATTGAAGATAGCTCAATGGGAGGGAGGAAGAAGGAAAGAATAAGTGATGGAACAACCCTCGGTAAAATGAGAGGTTAGCCTTGGATGAGAGAGGAGATAACCTCTTCCCTTAAAACTGGCAGGAAGAAGAAGGTACAGATTTGATACCTTCCTGCCCTCCCACTTCATTTAGATGTTTATGGGTATCCAGTACAAACTGGAGAGATTGTCATCTGTTGATGGTGAATACAGAGTGGGTTTGAGGAATGTAATGACAGTTTGGAGCAGTCGGTCAACAAGAGGAATCAGCAAGAGAACATCAAGGGCAAATAAAATGTGTCCTGGCGTTTTGAAAAGCTGACTTACTAATTAGTTCCATGAAATAAATTTGTGGGACCAAAATTATACAGTTTTCTCCAAAGGTATTAAGCCATGGTAAACAAATTAGATGTTAAGATTAGTCCAAGAGTAAAAATTAACATGGCAGATGTGGCAGAAATGCAGGCATAAGAGGAGTTTAGGGGAAGGAAATGAGACCAGAAAGAGGAAAATAAACTTTTGAGAAAATAGATAATAGAATTGGAGGCATCAGTGAGGCTAAAGTGCAGGTATTATGGTAGTGAGGTTTTGAATAACCAGGAGAGAAAAATTATTTGAGAGTACCAGAGTTTAAAATTTTAGAAGAGCAGATAAGATCTGTAGTCTTGCCATAGAACTGAGTGACACAGTAGAGGTGAAAGCATAAGCCTTCACAGTTGAGTCACCCACATGTCTGTTCTTCCTTGATGATTGCAGGATGATTGAGGTGAAGAGCACTGTGCACCAGTTATCATGATCCACAAACAATTGTGGAGGAATGGCTAAATGACAGCTACCTGCCAGCAGCAGGCTGGTGGAGAGGTTGGAGAATAATATTATCTGGATATGTGAGCTTCAGAGGAAAGGGTTTTTGGAAGAAGAGTGATTATAAAGCTGAAACTTCATGAGGTCAAGGCCTGTGCCTGTTTTCTCAGCACCCTAGCATCAGTGACTAATATAGGATTCAATATGTAGAAGGTGCTTAATAAATACTTTTAATTGAATGAATTAGGAACATGCCAACTATATATATATATATATATATATATATATATATATATATATATATAAGCCTAAGTGATCATTATGATGGAATGACGGAACGACCAGAATGACCAGTCACTATGACACGCACTGACCACCAGGGGGCAGACGCTCAATACAGGAGCTTCCGCCAGCCCACAGGTCCCAATCGCCAATGGGGCCTGCTGTCCAACCTCCCAGTCCCTCCCCTGGGTTGGCAGGTCCCAATTACCCAGTCAGGGCCAGGCCCCAGGTTGGGACGGGGATGGGGGGGGCGGGAAGGGGTGGTGGCAGACCTGGGCAGTGAGGGAAGGCGGAGGGCCATAGGCTGTGAGGAGAGGAGCAGGGACATGGGGAACCTGACCGGCCCTGATCCCTGGCCAGGCCTAGGGACCCCACCCATGCACGAATTTCGTGCACCAGGCCTCTAGTAGGTCTATAAGAGAGACAATGGCTTGAGGAAGAAACAAGTATAGTGATAAAAAATAAAAAAATAGTAGCGGGAGCAATGGAGAGTGAATATGTAGGAGAGGCTGTTTCAGTGAAAGATAGTGAGTCTTGACTTCAAGAAAGTTAATATGTTTAGTGACTAAGCACAACTATGAAGACCATTTTTGCACTATAATTAGATTATACTACCCTGTTTCCCCGAAAATAAGACAGTGTCTTATATTAATTTTTGCTCCCAAAGATGCGCTAGGTCTTATTTTTAGGGGATGTCTTATTTTTCCATGAAGAAAAATACGGTACATATTTATTGTTAAATGAAAATAAAGGAAATTTATTACCTGTATACCATACGGTAGTACGGTAGTTGTCAACACAAACCAGACAAACTGTGAATCCTACAATATCAAGAATTTACTCATTTATTCAATGACAATCATGTCATCATCTTCTGGAACATCATCATAACAATCCATTTCCTGAATTTCCTGGTGAATTTCTTGTGACTCCATTTCTTTCAGAATCAGTGGACCAAATCTCTCATGTTTAGCCAGGGGAGGGGGGAGGGAGCCTTATTTTCGGGGGATGCCTTATATTCCACTCAGAAGGAAACCTGTAAGTAGGTCTTATTTTTGGAGGATGTCTTATTTTCAGGGAAACACGGTAGATGACCTGAGAAAAGTATTATTTGATTGTAAAAGTGTTTCCCCCCCTGAATCTATTTTGTTAACAGAAAAAAAAAGTGAACAAGAATTAAAAGATGAAGAAATGGATTTATTTACCAAATACTACTCTAAATGGAAAGGAGGTAGAAAAAACACAAATGAATTCTATAAGACCATTCCCCGGTTTTATTATAGGGTAAGTGGTATCTAAGCAAATGTCTTGCAGAGTTTATAAATAAAATGCAATTTTTAAAATGGAATAAGAATATTTTATAAATAGAGTGTTATATCCTTTTTTATTTTTTATTTTATTTTTTTGTTAATCCTTACCCGAGAATATTTTTCCTTTGATCTTTTAGGGAGAATGGAAAAGAGAGAAACATCGGTGTGAGAGAAACATATCAATTGGTTGCCTCCTGCACATTCCCCAGCAGGACCTGGCCTGGGGAGGAGCCTTGCAACCAAGGTGCCCTGGACCAGAATTCTGGACCCTTTGTTCCACAGGCCAACTATGTAGCCACCAAGCCAAACTGGCTAGGGCAGGTTATATCTTTTTTTTTTTTTTTTAATATGTTTTTATAGATTTCAGAAGGAAGGGAGAAGGGAGAGAGAAATAGAAATATCAATGATGAGAGAGAATCATTGATCAGCTGCATCCTGCCTGCCCCTTACGGGGGATCAAGCCTACAAACTGGGCATGTGCCCTGACAAGGAATCAAACCATGGTTTTCTGGTTCATAGGTCAATGCTCAACCACTGAGCCACGTCGGCTGGGCAATAATTATATCTTAAATTTTATATATTTATTATTTCATTCTAGTTGATCTTATTTTGGAGCTGATAAAATCCTGAGATTTCATATAAATTAGATAAGATCACATAGTTGTTAATTGCCCCCCTCTTATTGAGTCACAGGCCTTTTCTTCCTAATTAATGATATTAGTAATGGATATTCTGTTGGATTATGTTGTCAGGCTTTTTTTAAGATTTAGGATTACTTGACTGATATATATATATATATATATATATATATATATATATATATATATTTTATATTTTAATCCTTACCCAAGGATATTTTTTCCAATTCTGTTAAGAGAGAGTAGAAGGATGGGAGGGAGGACAAGAGAGGGGGTAGAGGTCGGGGGGGGGAGAAAAAGAGAAACAGAAACAGCGATGTCTAGAGGGACACATCTATTGGTTGACTCCCACATTCACCCCAACGGTCTGGGGATCAAATCTGCAACCTACATACGTGCCCTTGACTGGAATCGATCCTGTGACCCTTAGGTATGAGGGCTTACTCTATAACCACTAGTAACACAGGCCAGGGTTGATCACAATTTTTAACTTTGTTTTTTTCTTATTTTGTAAGGTATAAAATGTTTTGTTCAAGGTTAAACTGAAAAATAGGTTAAGAATGGAATGCTTGCCGAAACTGGTTTGGCTCAGCGGTAGAGCGTTGGTCTGCGGACTGAAAGGTCCCAGGTTCGATTCCAGTCAGGGGCATGTACATTGGTTGCGGGCATATCCCCGGTACGGGGTGTGCAAGAGGCAGCTGGTCGATGTTTCTCTCTCATCGACGTTTCTAGCTCTCTATCTCTCTCCCTTTCTCTCTGTAAAAAAATCAATAAAATATATTTTAAAAAAAAGAATGGAATGCTTGAAGAGTTATACTTATTTATTTTTTTCTTTGTGCCAAAATTGTAAAGAAGTATTTGCAGAGGTTTACAGGTTAAAACATATCTTAAGAAAGCAGTTTACATACAGAGAACAAATTGATGGTTGCCCGATAGAAGGAGGGATGGGGGCTGGGTGAAAAAGATAAAGAGATTAAGAAGTACACATTGGCAATTATAAGCCCGGGCATGTGCCTTGGAATCCAACTGTGGCCTCCTGGTTCATAGGTCAGTGCTCAACCACTGAGCCACACCTGCCAGGCTAAATGAACTTTTTAAATGAATGATGATTTGAAATTAAGCAAAATGGAAATACAGAAAGTCATTGAGTATAATACATAATTATTTTATGAGCTCTTAAACATTTTACTTAATCCAATAGTCTAGAATTTAAATATAGAAATTAACTACAATGTATTTTTAGCTGCCAGCTGAAGATGAAGTCTTACTGCAGAAATTAAGAGAGGAATCCAGAGCTGTCTTTCTGCAAAGGAAAAGCAGAGAACTGTTAGATAATGAAGAATTACAGGTAAGAATGGAATAAAAGCTTGCTTTGGATGTTAGCCATTTCTTATTTGTACTACTTAACTCAGACAGGATCTCAGGACTGTCTTATGGAGAGGGGCCTGCAGAGAGGGTGAAAGACAAGCCCTGGAGAGATGGCTCCCACCGGAAACGCAGCAGAGCTTGTGTGGGCCTATCTCCCAAGGATAGTTTTGTTTTTTAAAGCCCCTACGTGATTCTAATGGATAAAGTTAAGAAACCCCAACTATAGAGTCAAACTTCAGGGGTTCAAACCCCAGCCCTGCTCTGAGATCTTGGGCAATGTACTTAACATTTTTGTGCTTTAATACTCATCTGTAAAGTAGGCATAACAATATCTACAGTATATAGTTATGTAGATTAAGGAGGTAATGTGTATGTCTATTTTTGTTATTAATCAGAAGAATAATAGGGAATGAGATTCATCTTAATATTAACTCTACTATCAAACTATCATTTTAATGTAAATAACATATTTAACTGCTTTTAAGTTTTGTTCTGTTAACTATAACATCTCCATTTTTGCAATTTTCTTAAGAACTTATGGTTTTTGCTGGACAAGCACCAGACACCACCTATGATTGGAGAGGAAGCAATGATTAATTATGAAAATTTTTTGAAAGTTGGTGAGAAAGCTGGACCAAAGTGCAAGTAAGAATAATATCCTATATAATAAAAGCCTAATAGGCAAATTGTCCCCTCGACCGGGAATTCGACCGCTCGCTATGACGTGCGCTGATCACTAGGGGGTATCACAGAACATGGCGGGCATCGGTCGTCCTGACAGTGGGCGGCAGTGGAGGCGCTGCCAGCCCCAATGGGCCCTGACAAGAGCGGGACCACAGCAGGACGGTGGAGTAGGTGAGCAGGTGGCGCCAGGCCAAGGCGGGGGCAAGTGGGGGCCCAATTGCCCTGCAGACTTGGACCAGCAGCGGCTCCCAGGCACTGAGGGAGCCAGGCAGGGCCCAATGACACAGGCGGAGCGGGGCGCACAGGGGCCCGGAGATAGCTGGGACCTGCCCTTCATACCAGACGCTTGCGCTTTGATTGCCAGCCAGGCCTAGGGACCACACCCGTGCACGAATATCATGCACCGGGCCTGTAGTATTTAATAAAAGAATATATTTCATTAAGCATTTTAAATGCCTCAAATGTTGATGAAAATTTAAACCAGTGGTATTACAATTTGAGTCAATGTTATTAAAATAGTTCTTAATAAAGTTTAAAAAATTATTTAGTAAAAATTATTGGTATGAATTTATTCAAATAAATATGACATAACACTATAGGCCTTCATTCTTAAGACAAGAGAATGTAAAGAAGCAGGACAATATTTTTGAGCTATAATTCTCTTTTTTCACCACTTTGATTTTTCATTGCTGTTGTTTGATAATTTACATAGAAGTAATTTTTATGTTAGCAGATGATTTTAACCCTTATTTCCTTTCCTTAGGCAATTTTTCACAGCGAAAGTCTTTGCTAAACTCCTTCATACAGATTCTTATGGAAGAATTTCCATCATGCAGTTCTTTAATTACGTCATGAGAAAAGGTGATTTCATTTTTATTCTTCTCTCACTGTCTGTGAATCAAGTAGGATTTTGGTCCATGCTTTTAGAGTATCCCTCCCATGTGAAAATATTCTCTTAGTAAGTTTGAATAGCAGAATTTCTTGTCTTTTAAACAAGATTTTTTTTCTTAGTATGATTCTCTACTAGAACTTACTAGAGCTGAGATTTTCTGCCATAAATTTGAGTTTATTGTTATAAAAAGAGAAACAAAACAAAAACGTCACATCCTAAAGATACTAGCTATCTAGATACATCAAAAGCCGAACCAAGAGTTTTATTTATTTATTTATTTATTTATTTATTTATTTAAAATATATTTTATTGATTTTATACAGAGAAGAATGGAGAGAGATAGAGAGTTAGAAACATCGATGAGAGAGAGTCACCGATCAGCTGCCTCTTGCACACCCCCTACTGGGGATATGCCCGCAACCAAGATACATGCCCTTGACCGGAATCAAATCCTGGACCCTTCAGTCCCCAAGCCGACGCTCTATCCATTGAGCCAAACCGGTCTCGGCGCGAACCAAGAGTTTTAATGTGTGGTGATTTGAAATTATTTTAATTCACTGGTAATTTTATTTCACTAACATATTATGGGTTGAGCTGCCTGAGAAGATGGTTTCAAACTCACAACTATAGTATGAGTTTTAAGGAATTTTTACCAAACAACTGGAGTTGTATGATTCCTGTAAGTTCCATAATGATCTTTCAAGTCTTATGTATATCACCTTTAATAATTGGTGGCAGTAAATAACCTCAGTAGAATAAAAACAGCTTGTTAAAAGCATAACATTACACTCACTGTCCCTGTTTGGTGGAATGACAAATTTAATAAGAACAATATCCTCAAGGGCATCGACTTTATTATCACTTTAGGCATTCAGAATCTGCCATTGATATCTGCCATTAATTCTATGGTAGGTTTGTTTTGTTTGGAACAAATTTAGGGTTAACAAATAAGTAATATGTCTGAGAATAAAGATATTCATGAAGATATTACCTTGTCCCTCTAATCTAGCTCTTTATCTCCTTTTGTCCATATATATTCTAAAGGATAGCACTTAGTAATTACATTTCATTTCCTTGTTTATTGTCAGTTTGGCTTCATCAAACAAGAATAGGACTCAGTTTATATGATGTTGCAGGACAAGGATATCTCCGAGAATCCGTAAGTATTAATTTACTTTAATAACCACGATAGACATGAAAATGTTAAGAGTGGTTACCACTGGGTGTTGGAATTACAGATGGTTCTTTTTTTGTTTGTATCTCTGTTTTTGTTTTTACAAATAACATGTTACTAAAAAACCTTTTAAATGTATATTGACCACAAAAATTCATTTTAAAAAATATATATTTTATTGATTTCTTACAGAGAGGAAGGGAGAGGGAGAGAGAGCTAGAAACGTTGATGAGAGAGTCATCGGTCAGCTGTCTCTTGCACACCTCCTACCGGGGATGTGCCCGCAACCAATGTACATGCCCTTGACCGGAATCGAACCTGGGACCCTTTAGTCTGCAGACCAACACTCTACCACTGAGCCAAACCGGTTTCGGCCAAAAATTCATTTTTTAATTATTTTCTCTAGTCTTTTTTTTTTTTTTTTTTTTAATATATTTTATTGATTTTATACAGAGAGGAAGGGAGAGATATAGAGAGTTAGAAACATCGATGAGAGAGAGTCATCGATCAGCTGCCTCTTGCACACCCCCTACTGGGGATATGCCCACAACCAAGGTACATGCCCTTGACCGGAATCGAACCCGGGACCCTTCAGTCCCCAAGCCGACGCTCTATCCATTGAGCCAAACCGGTCCCGGCATTTTCTCTAGTCTTTTAAGAAAAAGTTTTTTATAGGAGAAAATAAGAATGTAGTGTTTTAATAGGATTAAAAACCATTGAAAAAACAGTGAAAAACTTGTGATTATTCATGAGTGTTATCAGTGTATGACTGTTTTAAAATGTGAAAGCTAGGAATTTTTCCTCTTAAAGGAAATATATACGAGAAAAATAATGTGACTGTTTTCCCGCCAATAGGTTTGGATTATAACGTCAGTTACCAAGAGGCTGTTTGGTAATTAATACCACTAGGTATTAATGTAGTTAGGCCAAGTTATCAGTAGAGAATTATAGTCTCATCGTCTAAATGGCTTTGCTTCTTCTGAGTGCAGGAATCTAATTATATGGTCATGCTTCTTTTTATCTCTCAGGCTTTTCCCACCAAATATAGAGTGCTTTTTAGGGCTGTTGGGGAAAGGGTCAGGGAGGTAAGCATAAATATGAAACAGGTTAATCAATTGCTTAAATAAATATTCAAATATTAGATTTTAAGACATATTCCCTGTTATAGTTTATTTCCTATTATAATTTTTACTGTCTGTTTTATACAGATTTCTATAGATAGAATGTTAGCTCATACTGAACATTTACATTTAAAAACCTTTCTAGGGTCCTGGCCAGTGTGGCTCAGTTATTTGGGCATTATTCCATGCACTGAAAGGTTGCCGGTTTGATTCCTGGTCAGGGCACATGGTTGGGTTGCAAGCTCAATTCCTGGTCAGGGCACGTGTGGGAGGCAGCCTATGTTTCTCTCTCCCTCACCCTTCCTCTCTCTCTAAAAATCCTATTTAATAAAGAAGGAATATGCTAATTGACCCTCACTATGTATCACAAAGATAAGCCAATAAGGAGAGAATATGCTAATTGTCTGCCCATCCTCAAAGATGGTGGCACCCACAGCAAATGAGGAAATACTGGTATGCTAATTGACTGCCCCGCCCTCAGAGATGGTGATGCCCAGTCCCCTCAACCCCCCAGCCGCCCACGGCTGGCCCGAGGCACAGGAAAGCCTCAGGTGGCAGCTGCCCAGCCGATGCCTAAGGTGCAGGCAAGCCTCATATGTTGGCTGCCCAGCTGCCCAGCGCCAGCCCAAGCTGCAGGTAAGCCTTGAATGGCAGCTTCCCATCCCCCCAGGGCCACCCAAAGCTCAGGTCACCAGGGCCGGCTGAGATTTGTGCTGCCAGTGGTGGCAGCAGCAGAAGTGTGATGGAGCATTGCCTTCCCCTGATCACCACCCCTGAGGGCTCCCGGACTGTGAGAGGGGGCAGGCTGGGCTGAGGGACCCCTTTTCAGTGCATGAATTTTCATGCACCGGGCCTCTAGTCAATAAATAATAAAAAACACAAAAACCTTGCTAGGGACACAGTACAGTTCTTAAACTTTAAGATTAGATCAACCTGACAATAAAAGGCTCTTGTTTTGCCCTGGCTGGGTGGATCAGTTGGTTGGAGCAACGAACCATACACCAAAAGGCTGGAGGTTTGATATCCAGTTTGGGGCACGTGCAGGAGGCAACTGAACGATATTTCTCTCTCACATTGATGTTTTTCTCTCCCCCCCTCTCTTTAAAATCAATAAAAACATATCTTCAGGTGAGGATTAAAAAGAAAAGAAATATTTCTCCTACCCTGGGCACTTTGCCTTTTGAAACCAGGTCATGTGTTTTCACTTAAAAGACAATAGTTTTTCCAGAACCAATATCTGAATTTGAATAGTTTGAGCATACTTTCATTCACTTACTAAATCTTATTTAATAAATACTTGACAAACAGCTAATTTGTGCCAGGTACTATTCTTTTTTTTTTTTTTATCCTCACCTGAGGATATTTTTTCCATTGACTTTCAGAGAGAGGTAAGGGAGGGAGGAGGTGTGGAGAGAAAGAGAGAAAAACATCGATCTGAGAGACACACATCGACTGGTTGCATCCTTCACACACCCTGATTGGGGGTGAGGTGCAGACCCACAACCAAAGTACTTGCCCTTGACCAGGAATCAAACTCAGGACCCTTCAGTCTGCAGGCTGATGCTCTAACCACTGAATAACTAGCCAGAGTAGCCAGAGGTGTACTAAGTACTATGCTAAGCCTTACTTTTATGGAGCTTTTTTCTAGCAGAGTAGGGAGGCAGACACTAAATTATAAGCAAACTAATTTCAAATAAAGAATAATACACTTGCCGAAGCCAGTTTGGCTCAGTGGTAGAGCATCGGTCTGCGGACTGAAAGGTCCCAGGTTCAATTCTGGTCAAGGGCATGTACCTTGGTTGCGGGTACATCCCCAGTAGGGGGTGTGCAAGAGGCAGCTGATCGATGACTCTCTCTCATCGACGTTTCTAGCTCTCTATCTTTCTCCTTTCCTCTCTGTAAGAAAAATCAATAACATATATATATATATATATATATGTAAAAAAAAGAATAATACACAAGTTAAAAAATGTATTTTTACTTCATTATTAATGGAATGTGTGTGCCTAGGGGGCACTGTACAGCTACTCAACCTGGGAATTAGATTTGACACAGTCATCCTCAGTTCCTCTTTCACACTAATTTTCATGTGGCACTTGCTTTGTTTTTTTTATTTATTTGTTTTTTATATATATTTTTATTGATTTTGTACAAGAGGAAGGGAGAGAGATAGACAGTTAGAAACATCGATGAGAGAGAGTCATCGATCAGCTGCCTCTTGCACACCGCCTCCTGGGGATGTGCCCGCAACCAAGGTACATGCCCTTGACCGGAATCGAACCCGGGACCCCTCAGCCCCCAAGCCGACGCTCTATCCATTGAGCCAAACCGGTCTCGGCTGGCACTTGCTTTATTACAGCAACCATCCAGAACCTAGATTGCTAAGATTGATGTAATAAAAAGGAATATATATTTAAAATTCATGTTGAAAATGTGAACTCCCCTGAGCAATAGCTCATGCAGTGTCTGACAGATGTTGCTAAAATATCCTATCCTGTTGCATCCCTGTGAGTTCAATGTCGCAATCCTGGGGCACAATTTGGGAACTGTTAATATAACCTCCCATTGGTGTTGGGAGTATAAAATGGATATGGCCTTTATGGAGGGGTGGGCCGTTTACCAATATCTATCAAAATTATAAATGTGCATGTTTTGAAACAGCAATCCACTTACAGAAATTATATCCTACTAGAGGCCTGTTGAACGAGGATTCGTGCAACAGGCCTTCCTTCTCTTGGCTGCAAGCACTGGCTTTCCTCTGGCACCCGGGCCTCGGGCCTTTGCTCTGGCCACCACCTCAGTCTTCACTCCAGCCAGAGCACTGCTCCTGTAGCTCCCTCCGCCGCCCACCTTCCCCCCATAGCAGGCATCCTGTTCTGCCCGCAGAGGCCCAGAGCAGCTGGGGGTGGGGCTGTCACCTTCTTTGTCTAGTTAATTTTCATACTCACTCCTGATTGGCTGGTGGTGCCTCGAAAAGATGGTCAATTTACATATTTTTTGTTAGTGTAGCTTATTCTTCCATATTTATGAATGAAAAAATTCTCTTGGCCACTATAGTATTGTTTTTAGTGTGGCAGAAGGTTAGAAATAACCTAAATGCCCATCCATAGAAGACTAAATAGATTATGGTACATCTGAAATATTTTTTAATCCTCACCCAAGGATATATTTTTGACTTAAAGAGAGGAAAAAGAGAGAGAAACATCAGTTGCCTCCTATATGCACCCTGATCGGGGATTGAACCCACGACCTAGGTTTGTGCCCTGACTGGGAATTAAACTCAGCCTTTTGGTGTACAGGACGATGCTCCAACCGACTAACCCACTGGTCAGAGTACCATAGCTTTTTTTTTTTTTTTTAATAGAAGCTCTTTAAGAGCCAATGTGGAATGACTGCAAAGTATAGTGTTAAGTGATAAAAGCAAAATACAGAAGAATTTGCATGGTCTGCTTTGATATTCTGTGCTAGAGAGGAAAGGAAATACACATACACTGTATATGTATTTGCTAGAATATTCATCAGTTGGTTGTCTTTGGAAAGACACATTAGAAGCCGATAATGTAGCTTACCTCGGGGGGAGGAAATGGGTGAGAATACTCTCGTTCCTTTTGAGTTTGGAACTATTATATGTAGAATGTATCACCTACTCAAGAGTATGTTAAAGTTTAAATAAGAACTAAATTAGTAGGAACAAATTTAATACAAACTACTAAGCTAGTTATGAATTAATATTAATGTTAAACAATTTCTAGGACTGATATTATAATCCAGTTCCTAATGAAAAAACAAGATATTTTTAATACTTAAAAGTTTTATTTTGTTTTCATCTTTCAGGATTTAGAAAACTACATATTGGAACTTATCCCTACTTTGCCACAATTAGATGGGCTGGAAAAATCTTTTTATTCCTTTTATGTTTGTACAGCTGTTAGGAAATTCTTTTTCTTTTTGGACCCTCTAAGAACAGGTAAAATAAAATCTTATCTTAGATATTATAAAAGTATTACTTTTATATCTCAACTAGAGAAAAGTCTTGAAATGTCATTTTTTTATTTTCCCAACATGTCATTACCATCTATATTTATCAAATGCTAATATGCTAAGTGTCCCTCTGAACATCCGAGAAGCAGTCGCTATGACACACACACCACCAAGGACAGATGCTCAATGCAGGAGCTGCCGTCACGTGCACTGGCCATTTACAAAGAAATGGCGCTGTGGATCTGGTGCTGACAAAGCAACACTTAGCTTTCCCAGACTGGGACACAGGCCCCACAACTACCCGGGAGAGACAGCCGACCAAATTGCAGCAAAGCTGCTGAGACTCCATGGCACAAAATATAGCCCAGCCCAGCCCAGAAACAGTAGCTGTGGGCACCAGATAATGACATCACATCGCAACACCCAGCTTCTTCTCCCTAGCAACTAGCCTCCTTGAAGTTTCTTCAGCCCAGGAACACGGCTTGCTTTATAGCCAGGTGGAAACATTTCACACATTAACCAAACGTCTATGAAGCATTTTCCTGTGCCTCGTCTCATTTGATCCTCACAGAAGGATATATTGTCCCGGAGTAGGTAGGCAGGAGACTTGATAGGTAGGAGACTTTTCTTTCATTAGCCAGAAAATGGAGATTTAGAAAGCTTAGAAACTTTACCCAACTGAAAAGAAGAAATGGTGGACCTTGAAAATGACTTCAGGTTTTCTCACTGTGCAGAATATAGTCAAACACTGCTGCAGTTAAATAGTTTACCCTTTGTTCTCCCTGTGTGATGTACAATAATAATCTCCTTCCTGTTGATATTTACTGCTGTGTTGCTAACAATTACCTGAAAGAGAAGATGGGATGCTTCACTGTGCTGGAAAAAGTTTAGCTAAATCAGAAAGCAGGTCTAATTAGGCAGTTTATGTATATAAAGCTCTCTCTGGCACCAGTCACACTGTGTGTTTCCAACTGTCATTGTCTATAGTGAATTTGGTTGATAGTTCTATTATAAAGAAAGGGTAAATAGCGATATTAAAATATTTCTTGTAGTAAATTTCCTTTCAATGTGCACAAATTCGTGCACTGGGCCTCTAGTTAATATATAAGGATTTTGTATGATTTACTTGCACCAGCCATAACCAGGTGTGTGACAGTGGCATCTCACCTAACCTCTTATAGTTCCTTCATTTCTAAATGAACTATGAACTGGGTAATTTATGACTCTTTCTATTTATAAGAAGCCAGTTATGCCGAGACTGGTTTGGCTTAATGGATAGAGCATCGGCTTGGGGACTGAAGGGTCCCGGTTCGATTCTGGTCAAGGGCATGTACCTTGGTTGCGGGCATATCCCCAGTAGGGGGTGTGCAAGAGGCAACTGATCGATGACTCATCGATGTTTCTAACTCTCTCCCTTCCTTTCTGTACAAAATCAATAAAATAAATAAATATATATATAAGCCAGTTATTCTGATATGCTATTCTGATATGTAAGATAATGGAGAATGCTTTTTTATCAAATTTGTGAATTGGGAGATAGAACCATTTAGCCATAATGTATTTTTTTTCCCTCAAGTTAACTATCCTATATGGGGCTTAGATTGGTAATTTGGCCTCGTTAACATAAATTTTAAAAACTGTTCTAACCTATTGAAACTTAAAAGACTTAAATACATATATCTGGGGCCAGGGAAGGTACAGAAGGCCCAAATCAAAGTTCATAAGTCTATACTCAAAAATCCAGCTATGAGTCTATCATAGTATATCGTAGCTGACAGGCTTTTTTAAAACATCTCCATTATAGGAACATAGGTATATTTTTCCTTAAAACTTTACAAAATAATGCTATCAGTTTTGACTATTATGTACCAGGTACTATGCTAAGCATTATACATTGATTCTTTCATTTCCTTCCTATCACTCAATAAGGAAAGTATTACTATTATCCACAGTTTATGTGTGAAACCACTGAGACTTAGATTATATATCTAGAAGTATCATTTAAATTCCAATCCTTCTACTCATAACCATGCTTCCAAATTGCTTCCTATTCCAGAACCTGCCAAAGAAAAATGGAGACAGTCTCCTTGTTTGATTATGAGCTGTTTCATTTTCATCTCCACAAAATACACAACATAACTTTTTAGGGAATCGGTTATCAATGTAATTTTAGAAAGAATTTACCAATTGGATTTACATAGTTGGGGTATAAAAGTAGACATGTGAAGTAGAGGTTTTATTAAATACTAGAGGCCTGGTGCATGAAATTTGTGCATGGGTAGGTTCCCTAGGCCTGGCTGGCGATTAGTGCCAATTGGGGCCTTCCTTCCCCTGGGTGCTGGCTGCTGGCCAGGGATTTTTTTCGTTCTGCACTGCCCCCTTGTGGTCAGTTGAACTACCAGTCCGTCAAAGTCCCAAAGGGACAATTTGCATATTAGCCTTTTATTATATGGGATTAGAGACCCTGTCACGAAATTCGTGCGCTGTGGGGGGAGGTCCCCTCAGCCCAGCTTGTACCCTCTCACAGTCCAGAACCCCTCGCTCCTTACCATCCGCCTGCTCACGGCTCCTTACCACTCAGCTCGCTGCTCCTTAGCGCTGCCGCAGAGGCGGGAGCGGCTCCTGTCACCGCCATTGTGCTCGCCACTCATGAGCCTGGCTTCTGGCTGAGCACCGAGCATCTGCACTGGTGGTCAGTGCACATCATAGTGACCCACCATAATGTACATCTCCCCTTTCATAGCAATAAGGACTTTGGAGCATAAAAGCTAAGAAGGTTTAAAATGTCAATTCTTTGGCTGGTGTTATAAAATAGTACATTTATAAAATTGCTGTTTTTAAAATGCAGATAATTATTTTTTTTGTTCTTTAAAGGGAAGATAAAAATTCAAGATATTTTAGCATGCAGCTTCCTAGATGATTTATTGGAGGTAAGTGTGTTTTTAAACATGTATAAATTATATCACTTGATAATTGCTATCTTCTAATTGTCTCTGTGTTCATTTAGTTAAGGGATGAGGAACTGTCCAAGGAGAGTCAAGAAACAAATTGGTTTTCTGCTCCTTCTGCCTTAAGGGTATATGGTAGGTTCCTGTCAAAATGCTAAAATTTGAATTATTCATTCCTTAGTTAATTGGTGTTCAAAGGACATTTTTTAAAATATAAATATATTTTTTATTGATTTCAGAGAGGAAGGGAGAGAGATATAGAAACATCAGTGATGAGAGAGATTCATTGATTGGTTGCCTCCTGCATGCCCTCTCCTGGGGGTGGATCGAGCCCACAACCCAGGCATGTGCCATTGGCTGGAATTGAACCTGGGACTCTTTAGTCCATAGGGCAGCTAACTACTGATTCAAACTGGATAGGGCCAAAGGACATTTTGATACATAGGCTAATTTACTTTAAGATCAAAGTATCCCAATTATCTTAGAGCTAGTACTCTAGGTTACTAAAATTTACTTTTAAATACCAATGTTTTAAATTTTTATAACTCTTTTTAAGTTATTACACTTTCTCTTTAAGTTCGTCTTCTTTGACTCAAGCATTATGAACATCTACTGTGGTCTTGTACTGTGATAAAATGTTGGGAGGTGTTCTAGGACCTGGTTTGTTTTTTATTTGGGAGAGAGAGAGACAGACAGACAGACAGACATTGATGTGTGAGAGAAACATCATTGGTTGCCTCCCACACATGCTCCAAGTGCCCTGATCCAGGATCAAACCCGCTACCTTGTGGTATATGAATGGCATTCAAACCAACCAAGCCACACCAGCTTTTTCAGTAATATTTATTCTCCTTTTTTTTTTTTTTTTTTAAACATCTTCACTTGCGTACATTTTCATTGATTTTTAGAGGGGAAGGAAGAGAGAGAGTGGTGTGAGAAACACTGATCAGTTGCCTCATGCAAGCACCCCACCTGGGGCTGGGGATTGAATCCAAAACCCAGGATTGTGCCCTGACCAGGAATTGAATCCAGGACCTTTCAGTGTCCAGGGCAACACTCTTACCAACTGAGTCACACTGGCCAGAGTGCTCTTTTCTTAAATGTCATTAGTCTGTTAAGTTATTCTGTTAGGTGGTCCTAACTCATTTCGGCATCTTTGACCTCTGCTTTTAAGTGCCAGCATTTCAGTGCTTTTTGTGATCTCTATTGCCAGCTAATTTGGTTTTGCTTTTTTTGTTTTTGTCATTTAATTTAGAATCCTAGAAAGTCTTTTTTTTTTTTTTTTTAATATATTTTATTGTGTGTTTACAGAGAGGAAGAGAGAGGGATAGAGAGTTAGAAACATCGATGAGAGAGAATCATCAGTCAGCTGCCTCTTGCACACCCCCTACTGGGGATGTGCCCACAACCAAGGTACATGCCCTTGACTGGAATCGAACCCAGGACCTTTCAGTCTGCAGGCTGACGCTCTATCCACTGAGCCAAACCAGTTTCGGCCTAGAAAGTCTTAAAAGGTTGCAAACTAAAAGCAAATAATAATGTAAGGGAAATAGCCCAAAGGCCATCCCTTTATGATGTTTTAATTTTTCAAAAATGTTTTTATTGAGGGAGAGATAAACATCAATGATGAGAGAAATTCATCAATTGGCTACCTCCTGCTTGCCACCTACTAGTGATCGAACCCAAAAACCCAGGCATGTGCCCTGACCAGGAATCTATCCTTGACCTGGTTCTTGGGTGGACACTCAACCGCTGAGCAGCACTGGCTGCAGGTTTTCTTTTACTGGCTCTGGCTTAATAGTTGTGTGTTTTTTCTTTTTCCAAATATATTTTTACTGATTTTAGAGAGGAAGGAGAGAAACATCAATGATGAAAGAGAATCATTGATCAGCTGCCTCTTGCAGGCCCCCTACTGGGCATAGAGCCCACAACCAGGCATGTCCCCTTGACTAGAATCCAATTCAGGACCTTTCAGTCCGCAAGCCAGCCAACGCTCTATCCACTGAGCAAGACTGGCTAGGGTAACAGTTGTTTTGATAATTGCAGGGATTGATGATTTCACTACCTTTACTGTAAAATAATTACTTTGAAAATCAAAATATTAACCAATAAAAAGAACTTGGTGTTTATTCTTTTGTATTTGAATTTTATTTGGTCACAACTGTCTTTTTATTGTCTTTCTTCTCAAGGCCAGTATTTGAATCTTGATAAGGATCACAATGGCATGCTCAGTAAAGAAGAACTCTCCCGTTATGGAACAGCAACCATGACCAATGTCTTCTTAGACCGTGTTTTCCAGGAGTGTCTCACTTATGATGGAGAAATGGTATTAGTTTAAATCTAACAAATTTTTGAAATTTAGGTTCCCACAGCTTTCAAAAGCCTTTTTCTTGATGTGATAACAGTGTTTTTTATATCAGTGTGTAACAGTATCATAAATGTATGAAATGATCAAATTTGAGATTCAAAGAGCCTTTAATCTTAAGGTAAATTTGTTTTACAACATGACTTGCCTATGGATTCTGGGCAAATAGAAAATTTTAATTTGTTCATTTCATTGTCATTGTACCAATTGTAAAGGGATGTAGACAAGGTAAAGTAAAATCTGAAAATTTGGCAAATGCTATTAACTATTTTCATAGAGATGATTCATCCATTAAATTATCAGCTCAGATATAGTGCCACACACACAATGGTTTAAATTTAAGAATAGGTCGTATTACTCTCCATTAAGTGTCTATATTAGAAGCTAAAGATTGACTAATATGTATCTGTCCTTATATTGCAGAAATTATAAATTACCATGCTTGCTATTAAATACATGTGTTAAGGGTGTGATAAAATTTCCAAACCAATGATGCTTAAGAAATGGACAGATTGTCAGGAGAATTAGGTTCTAGGTTTTATCACTAAGCTTTAATAGCAGTTTTCTAAACAATACCCTTGTTAGCCAACTGCAAAGGAAAAGGGGGAAAAGGCATAGAAGGGATAGAGAGCTAGAAACATCGATGATTCCCACCATTGTCTACAGTGAGGAACTTTATAAATGACTTCTGGTGAATAAAGAAAATCAGAAGCTACAACTATGCTTGGAGATAAGACAATGCTAAGTTACATCTCTCTAGTTCTGTACTGCAATTTAAGCAAAAAGGAATTCTTAATCTTAGCCTAAAAAAAAATCTTCCAAGAATAGAAATTTCTGAGATTCTCCCACGTATTTTACTTATTTTCACTATGCAGAAAATGTAATCTATGACTAGATTTAAAATTTTTAAACAGTATACCAAATAGCTATTTGAATTTACTATCCTATTCATTCCAATAAATTTTTCTCAAAATGACCAAACTGAAATGAAAATATAAATGTGTGGCAATATATTCTAGCTTAGTCACTATGCTGTACATTTCAAAAGCATAATAAAAGAAAATTATGGCTAACACAGAAAATCTCATAAATGAATTATGTCCAAAAACCTTTTCTGAACAGATTAACTGTTGTATAGAATTCCTAGAAACCAACCTGAATGTTTTAAAATCTTGCCACTTTTGATTGCAAAATAGTTTCAGATTATTAGATACTCAAAAAGTTAATTCCAGCCGAAATCGGTTTGGCTCAGTGGTAGAGCATCAGTCTGCAGGCTGAAGGGTCCCGGGTTCGATTCCAGTCAAGGGCATGTACATTGGTTGCGGGCATATTCCCAGTAGGGGGTGTGCAAGAGGCAGCTGGTTGTTTATCTCTCATCAATGTTTCTAGCTCTCTCTCTCCCTTCCTCTCTGTAAAAAATCAATAAAATATATATTTTTTTAAAAAGTTAATTCTAAATATGGTCTCTAATGTTATTTTCTTTTCTATAGGACTATAAGACCTACCTGGACTTCGTTCTTGCATTAGAAAACCGAAAAGAACCTGCAGCTCTGCAGTACATTTTCAAATTGCTTGATATCGAGAACAAAGGATATCTGAATGTCTTTTCTCTTAATTACTTCTTTAGGGTAAGTCTCATTCATGTATATGAGTCATTGTTCCTTAACATATATGTTACATATACCATTTGGTTTAATATACCATGTGCGCCAAACTGGTTTGGCTCAGTGGATAGAGCGTCTGCCTGCGGACTGAAAGGTCCCAGGTTCAATTCCAGTCAAGGGCATGTACATTGCGGGCACATCCCTGGTAGGGAGTGTGCAACAGGCAGCTGGTCGATGTTTCTCTCTCATCGATGTTTCTAGCTCTCTATCCTTCTCCTTTCCTCTCTCTGAAAAATCAATAAAGTATATTTAAAAATAAAAATAAAATACCATGTGCCCTGACTGGTGTGGCTCAGTTGGGCATCATCCCGTGCACTGAAGGGTTACTGGTTCAATTCCTGGTCAGGGCACATGGTTCAATTCCTGGTTGCTGGCACATTCCTGGTCAGGGTTGCAGGACTTGATCTCTGCTAAAGGGAGGCAACCAGTCGATGCAGGAGGCAGCCAATTGATGTTTTGCTCTCACATCAGTGTTTCTTTTTCTCCCTCTCTCTTTCTAAAAATAAAAAATGTTTTTTTAAAAAATGTTTAAGCTTCACATTTTCTAGTGAGTGACTCAGCTAAAATGTTTCTCAAGCCCTAACCGTTTTGGCTCGCTGGATAAAGCGTTGGCCTGGGGACTAAACGGTCCCAGGTTCGATTCTTGGTTGGGGAAACATACCCAAGATGTATACAGGAAGCAGACAATCGATGTTTCTCTCTCATTGATGTTTCTAACTCTTTATCCCTCTCCTTTCCTCTCTGTAAAAAATTAATAAAATATATTAAAAAGTAAAATGTTTGTCAAGTTGGATCACAGTAGTTAACCCTTGAATAACAGTTTTGAACTGCATGTGTGTGTATCCACCTATATGCAGATTTTTTCAATAAGATATATTGAAAAAATTTGAGATTTCTCACTACAGTGAAGAAGTCTTATCAGTTACACTTAAGCTACCATAAAGCAATCGTGTTGCTACTAAGTTTTCCATACATGAATCATCAAACCTGAAAATTTTCATTTTCAGTTCTTTTCACTATTGATATCTAATTGTAGTTGTCAAGTACAGGGCAAAATGTAGGGTGGGAGGGGGTGGTGGTGGATTGGGTATCTTAAAGAATAGGGAAGGTATGAGCAGCATCCGTGGGTAATGGGAGGTCATATGGAATGATTGCTAGGCCACATGAAAGGCTCATCTAAGGTTGGAGAATATTCCTGTGTTGTAGCAATAATCTGTAGTTTTGTATACTTCCTTTCTGAAGCTCTCAATAGCTAAAGTGTAGGTCTAGAAAGGTTGATGGTTACACTGACCCAATATTTAGGTTTTGCTGAATAATTGATATGCAAGGTCAAGAATGTTGAGAATATTGGCAAGAATGGTTTGATAGGAAAGTAACTGGAACTAGAAAGAGACCATGGGATTTTTTTGGGGGGGCAAAGGGGGCTATTCTGTATTTCATTTTTTATTTACAGATTTATTTCTGCTAAATACAGGCCATACAGGAACTAATGAAAATCCATGGACAAGATCCTGTTTCATTTCAAGATGTGAAGGTTACTTTTTCCCTTTAATTTACATAATACCAGCTAACCATTTGTATTAAATTAAATTTTATATGAAAGCAACTTATGAATTATAAAATACTGGACCAAATCAAGTTTTTGCTCTTATTTGTTCCAATGATATTTAGTCATTAGAAACTGAGACCACAGTTTGACTAATGGTTTTTCTAGTCTGATTTTAGCATTTTCATCCTTGTGTTCTCATTGACAGCTTTCATTCATTTTGATTGAAAATTAAGAGAGAATCAATATGACCTGCATCCTTTGGCAAACTATTCCACTGGAAACTGAATTTTTAACTTGGGAACTGTTTAGGTCAGGCACATTTTTAGTCTGATACTTTCAAGGGCTTGCTTTGGTATTACTTAGGAAGTCATCAGTCCTACACTATGAAAACTACCACTGAAACATATGCTGCTACTTAGCACTTTAGTATTGAGACTTTCTCTAGCTATGAAAAACAAGGAGTATCCAGTATTGATTCAGGTTCAAACTGAATAATGTAATAAATAACTCATTCAGTTTTAACCAAGTATAAGATAAAAGTTGTTTTGGTTTAATATAAATGAGACACATTTTAAACTGGGCAACAGGCAACTTAAGAACTAGTTAAGCACTCCCTAGTTTGGCTCAGTCGGCCTGCGGACTGAATAGTCGCAGGTTCGATTTGGGCCAAGGGCACATGCTGGGGTTGCGGGCTCGATCTCCGGTGGGGGGCATGCAGAAGTCAGCAAACAATTCTTTCTCATCATTGATGTTTCTCTCCCCTCTCCCTTCCTCTTTGAAATCAATAAAATAAATCAATAGAACTATTGATAGTTAATTTTAGCCGAAACCGGTTTGGCTCAATGGATAGAGTGTCGGCTTGGGGACTCGAAAGGTCCTGGGTTCGATTCCGGTCAAGGGCATGTACCTTGGTTGCAGGCATATCCCCAGTAGGGGGTGTGCAAGAGGCAGCTGATCGATGACTCTCTCTCATTGATGTTTCTAACTCTCTATTCCTCTCCCTTCCTCTCTGTACAAAATCAATAAAATATATTTAAAAAAAAAAAAAAAAACTAGTTAATTTTAAATGGCCACCAACCTTGGAAGAGGAAGTTTCAAAAATATAAAAGTTTATTTCTTTTATCTACATTGTTCTAAACTCTGGAAAATGTAATTTTCCTCCTTTAATGACACTAAATACTGAGTAATTTTATTACAAAAAGATTAAGAAACACGTACGAATTCTTTGTAAGTATTCATTTAGAAGAGGTTCTTCCAAATATTCCAGTAAATTTTAACACAATTTAATGTTATTCTAGATGACTAATTCTTTGATACCAACCCCCCACCCAGAGTGTAAAAGGTTGACATCAATACTGGAAATGAAATTTTGTCATAATCTTGGTTCTGAAGACTTTAAGTTTGAGCTGAGTTTGCACTTAAATTGAAGGGTTTGCTTCACCACTACTAAAGTACAAGTAGTTAACATGTACTCAAAGAACATTGCATTAAATAGTTTAGTTATTAATTACCTATGTATTTGTATTAGCTTAAACTCCGAGCCTCATTTTCTTCCTCATTGATAGACAGTTATCACATAACTAAGGAATATTCCAGTAAAATTCTGTGAGTACATAGAAAAGGAGACTGCTTATCTGTTGAATGGTTTTTTCTTTACAAAAATGTTATGTAAGTTTAAGTGCTGAATTTTAGGTCACTGTGTGATAAAAATTAAGTGAATCATATATCAGATTCTCTTGTGTTTTTCTTCTTTCTTGCAGGATGAAATCTTTGACATGGTAAAACCAAAGGATCCTTTGAAAATCTCGCTTCAGGATTTAATCAACAGTAATCAAGGAGACACAGTCACCACCATTCTAATCGATCTGAATGGCTTCTGGACTTATGAGAACAGAGAAGCCCTTGTTGCAAATGACAATGAGAACTCTGCAGACCTTGATGATACATGATCTCAAAAACTAGACTGTATTCATTACCATAAGCTTGAATGCTACATGAAACCTTTGAAGCAGAATCCTTAGCAATGGTCTAAATAAAAGACTTCAAATGCCTATAGAACACAGAAAATGTTCTCATTATTGGAACAGTTTGGAAGCAATAGGACCAAATTAGGAAGCAATAAATTCTGTTTCCACTTAGCTTAAATATGACAAATGTGATTTGCTGAAAGCGGTCCACTTTAAATCTGTGTAATATTTAGGACTACTTCTGACATTAGTCATTAAGAATTTGAATACCTGAAAGGTAGTTTAAATTATAATGTGATCGTTTAACCTTGAATATTCTCCTAAAGTATTATATCTATCAGTGATTACAGACTTCCCCATTCATTTCATTTCTGGATTAGAAGTATTTAGTAGTAGATAAGATGTTTCTTTTTATAGGATATTTCAATAAAAAAAGTATTGAAGTTAATATTTTACTTTAAAAGTCATTGGTATAAAAAATCTGTCTAGTTTTATTAACTAGTACCAGGGTTACCTTTTATAAAACCAGTTTGTTAAGGATTATTGTGAACTCACTGTAAAGGTTCTCAATTACATGATGTCTAGTTTTATGAGATAAAAGAATATCATGAACTATGATCCACAAGGAACAGTAAATATTAAAAGGATTAAAAGGAAGAAAAACTGAAAGGCTTAAAAATAAGACAAAACCATTTAATGCATTTATGGGAAATTTTATAGTTTGCATAAAAAAAAATATAAAAATTTAAGGCACAGTGTATAACTATGTAAACATTACAAACTGGCCACAGTTAGACAAGTAAAGAAAAGAAAATTCAAGAAGCATAAAATCTTCATAGGTCATTATCTTCCTTCTACTATAATCAGAAAAGTTTCTAGTTTTTGTTAGATATATTACCTCCAAGGAGAGAAGATTCAGATCACATTCACTGGATAACCAAATACCAGAGTTGGAAATACTAACTCAAAAACAAATTGGAGGGAAGGTGTCAGGTTAGCATGTTTTAGAGCTATTGGTAAACTATAACTTATGGTTACATTAATTATATAATCTGATAACTAATCTTTTAAGCACTAAATTATCTGGTATAGACCCATTACTAAAAAGATGCCTATCATATGCCATGAGCCACCACACCATAAATCCATAAAAACATTTAAAAAAGGAAACCTATCTTATTTAATGTTATAGACTCAATCACCTTTCCATAAAATAAACTTAATCTTAAGGAAAGAAAATTCAAAGTGCTTTTATCTTGCTCCTTTTTATTACTCAGTGAACCTTCTTTAGTATGAAGTTAATGGTTAGATTTATAAATAAGACAACATGAAAAAATCAGAAAAATTCCTCATTTTCATCTGAAATTAGGAATATCAACTCTTATTAGCCTTAATTAGTAACTTAACCCATTTTTTTTTTCATACAAACACAAATAACAGACAAGCATGATAATTAACTCTTCTTAATTGGCAATTAGGGCTCTAAAATGTCCTTAACATTTTTATAAAGATCATTTTAAAACCAAAGCACTAATTTGACACCCAGTAAAAGCATAATACAAATAACCAAATTTCAGATCTGACTTTTGCTAGATAGAGCTTAAGAATAAAGGAAACAGATTTCCCTTTATAGATAATAATTTAAAATATAAATAACTGTATTAAATCCTGCTGAATAGAGAATGTGAAAGTTCCTGGTATAAAAACCACCTTAGTGTTTGAAGTTTGAGTCATTGCATTCTATGGTGGGACAGAGACTGGATTTTGTTTGCTTTCTGTAAATACTTCACATTCTCCCTCCATTTCAAAATTGAGATTCACAAATGAACTGGACACCACTGTTTCTGGTTGATCTGTCTGAACAATGGAATCAGCCTGCAGCTTATTCTGTTGGTAGTGTCTTTCTGCTTCTTCAGACATCCTGTTTTCTTCCTCCTCCTCCTCCTCCTAAAGAGAAAATATCAAGAATCGTTAAAATATATCCAAAAGGAATAGTATTTGTTCCAAATTTTAGCTTGTTTTTCTCTTTAAAAAAAAATATATATATATATTTTATTGATTTTCTTACAGAGAGGAAGGGAGAGGGATAGAAGAGTTAGAAACATCAATGAGAGAGAAGCATTGATTAGTTGCCTCTTGCACACCCCCTACTGGGAATGTGCCGGCAACCAAGGTACATGCCCTTGACCAGAATCCAACCTGTGTCCTTTCAGTCCGCAAGCTGATGCTCTATCCACTGAGCCAAACTGGTTTTGGCTGTTTTTCTTCTCTTTTAACCAAAACAGTATCATGTACAATTCACTTTGGTCTACTTAAGATAAGACATACTTTCCTTCCCTTTCATTCCCAAATTCAAAAACTATTATAATACATGACATTTTAGAAAAGTGGTGTCATTTTTAAAAATACATCTTTATTACTGAAAGTATTAACAGATGTCCCCATTTTTCCACCATTGACTCCCTCCACCCCGCTCACAGCCCCTCCCCAGCCCTTCATGGCACTATTGTCTGTGTCCACAGATTATGCATATTTTATCTAATAAAAGAGTAATATGCAAATTGACCATACCTCCACTACACCACAAGCCACACCAACCAACCACGCTCATCAGCCAATTAGAGCTAGTATGCAAATTAACCTGAACCAAGATGGTTATAGCCACATAGAGTAGGAGGGAGGCTTGGGTTTCCCAGGCAACAGAAGAAGCCAAGCTTTCCACCTGCCCTAGCCAGCCTAAGCCTCCACTCAAGGCTACAAAGTTTCAATTACAGAAGGTAAACAAATCCAAACAAATGGTGAGAGCAACAGAGCAAGCAGAAGGCTTGGCTCCACTCCAGGCTACAAAGTTTCAATTGTAGAAGGCAAATTCCAGATACCAGGGCCTTGCTTGGGTCGATGGGGGGTGTGGCCGACCTGCAAACCACCATAGGCCCCTCACCCAGGCCACCCCACATCCCAAGGGAATCCCCACCCTGATCCAGGACACCCTCCAGGGCAAACCAGCTGGCCCCCACCCATGCACCAGGCCTCTATCCAACCTAATAAAAGAGTAATATGCGCTGAAACTGGTTTGGCTCAGTGGATAGAGCATCGGCTTGCAGACTGAAAGGTCTCAGGTTCGATTCCGGTCAAGGGCATGTACCTTGATTGCTGGCACATTCCCAGGAGGGAGTGTGCAAGAGGCAGCTGATCGATGTTTCTAACTCTCTATCCCTCTCTTTTCCTATCTGTAAAAACTCAATAAAATATATTATTTTTTAAAAAGAGTAATATGCAGACTGACCATCACTCCAATATACAAGATGGCTGCCCCCATGTGGTCAAAGATCCTGCCCACGTGTGGACACAAGATGGCCACCACAAGATGGCCAGCAGGTGAGGGCAGTTGGGAGGGACCAGGCCTGTAAGGGAGGGCAGTTGGGGGTGATCAACCCTGCAGGGGAGGTCAATTAGGGATGACCAGGTCGGCAGAGGAGGGAAGTTGGGGGCAAACATGCTGGCAGGGGAGCAGTTAATCATCCATCAGGCTGGCATGGGAGTGGTTAGGGGGTGATCAGGCTGGCAGACAGAAGTGGTTAGGGGCAATCAAGAAGACAGGCAGGCGAGCAGTTAGGAGCCAGCAGTCCTGGATTGTGAGAGGGATATCTGGATCAGGCCTAAACAGGCAGTTGGACATCCCTCGAGGGGTCCCAGATTGGAGAGGGTGCAGGCTGGGCTGAGGGACACCACCACCTCCTCCACCCCATGCACAAATTTCATGCATCGGGCCTCTAGTATACATATAATTATTTAACCTCTTCCTGCTCTCCCCGTTCCCTCTTAGATGAGACCTGAACTACGTTGAAAGGGGTTTTATCTTTTCAGATTAAGTTCAATCTAAAACTATAGCTAATACTATTATCACTTCGATTATAGGGTATCAGCCTGTTCATTGGAATAGGTGGTCTAGCCACTAAATTGACATAGCGTGGTTAGTGTTCCCGTAAGCACCTGTAACAAATAAGGCAGTCTCTGCCCTCAAAAAATTTACAATCTAAGAGGGAAGCTAAGACACGTAATAACAGCATTAAGACAGAAAGGAATAACTAGAGATTTAGAAATAATAACTTCCAAAACTACTACTGTATTTTCCAGCGTATAAGACGACCCCTTAATTTTACAGTTAAAACATAGGTTTAGGCCTATATTCGCTTTATAAGATTACCCCCCACTTTTTTTTCGTTTCAAAAGTCGTCTTATACGCCGGAAAATACGGTAAGTTCATGGAAGAGGTGGCATGTGTACTGGTCCCTGCAGTATGGGTACAGAATGACTAACCTGTTAAGAAGATTAATCTAGAGCTTGCTTGAGAATGAATGAGAAAGGCCATTTAGAGAGGCTATACTCCCCATGAGGTAATGAGGTTCTAAACAAGTCGTTCATCAAATATTTTGATACCAAATAAATATAAAGTCAGTTGAGTTTTCCAGATTCATCTCCAGCCATTCTGTTGTACTCTATGCTCCAGTGACAATAAAGTAGTATTCTTGCCATTTCCCCAAACATACAACATATTTTCATTTCTCTACATTCTATATCTAAATTGCCCTCAAGTGCTTGAAGGAGAATAGTAAGAGATACTAATATTTATTTTATTTTCACTAATATATACTAGGTGCTGTTCTATTTTACATATTAATTCATTTAATCCTTAGAGCAACCCTAGCATGGATGGTGCAATTTTCATTATAAAGATGAGTAAACTGAGGCTTATAAAGGTTAAGTATTTTGCACAAAGTAACAAAGTTAGAAGTGGCAGAGCCAGAATTTGAATTCAGACTCTTCGGATATTTGGGCCCATGCTCTTGAATGCTAAAGCTTTCTCATTGTTTAAGGCTAACCTCATTTCACTCCCCACTCTCAGACCTCACTATAGACAGACTTGCCTCACATCTCTGTGCCTTCCCTACTGGCACTTACACATTTCTAATAACTGTAATTTTCTGTGCATCAAACTCACTCCAGTTCTACATGCAGTCCATGCCTCCTAAGTAGAGAGATTGGGTCTTGTTTCCTTATCTTAATATTGGAAGATAATAATCCAGAAAGAGGTATGTGAAGATTAATAACAATCATAGCACCTAGCACAGTGAATCTAGCTCAATTTTACAAATAGATCCCAGGAAACTTTCAGTATTAAAAAATTCCAAAATGTATGCTAATTTGATTTTTTTAAAATGCCTCTGAAATGAAATGCCTAGCACATAAAGGAGTTACCTTTTGGGTACTTAGAGAATACATGTGTTCAATACATAACCCATCAAGTCCATAGCAAACAAAACCTAATCAAGAAAATGTAAAAGAGAGACATACCTCCTTCTTCATCCGGTAATACTCATCAATGGCATATTGGTATTTTGGGGTACTGATGCCCAAAACAGATGCAATCTTCTCTCCAAGAAAGTCACACACTAAAGATACAAAAGTTAAATAGCTTACAATAATTCATAAGCATTTCTTTTTTTTAAAAATTATTTTTATAAACATTTCTTGAGCACTTTCTATGTGTAAAGCACTGTAGAAATACAAAAGTTATAGTTCCTGCCCTCAGAGAGATTATGAAGACTCAATATCTCTTCTGTATATTATTCTTTGATTTCCTCAAGAAGCACTTATGGCTTCTTATGGGCACCTGTTAACACTGCCAGTAATACTTACCACCAAGTATTATAATTATTTGTTCCATGTCTATTTCTTTTTTTTTATTTTAATGCATATCCTTAGAGAGCTAGCATGCCAATGGGCTGAAGGAGAGGAATGGCTTGTACCATACATGCCAGGCACTGTAAGGTTAGACTCAGAGAGGCTGAAGAACTTGCCAAGCTGACAAAACAAATCCAAAATTCAATCAGGACTGAATATAAAGCTAATGCTGTTTTCATTTCACCAGACTGTCCAGCATCTACGGAGTGCTCAGTAAATTTTTTAAAAAATATATCTTATTGATTTTTCACAGAGGGAAAGAGAGAGGGATAGAAAGTTGGAAACATTGATGAAAGAGAAACATTGATCAGCTGCCTCCTGCACACCCCCCACTGGGGATGTGCCCTCAACCAAGTACATGCCCTTGTCCAGAATCGAACCTGGGACCCTTGAGTCCACAGCCTAACGCTCTATCCACTGAGCCAAACCAGTCAGGGCAATGCTCAGTAAATGTTTGTTGAATTAATTACTATTCAAAATTAGATTCAATAAAAAGGCACAAAGTGATAGAAGCTATGAAGCAAGAGAAAGCTTTATGATTTAAAACCTATATTTAAAGTTTGCATGATTGAGTCATAAGCTGATAATTTATTTCTTTCAAATATGATTTAGTTATATCTAAATCTAAATATATAAAAGCATAAGCAACCAGCTGACCAGCCAACCAGCCGGTAGCTATGACGCACCCTGACCACCAGGGGGGCAGATGCTTGATCCAGGAGGGGAAACCACAGGCATGGAGACATGGAACAAATGATAAATCTCAGAGGGAAGAAGGGTTTCAAGGGAGGGCTGGAAGAGATTAGCCAAAGATCTTATATGCACACTAGAAGCCTGGTGCATGGATTGGGGTCCCTCGGCCTGGCCTGCGGGGATCGGGCCGAAACTGGCTCTCTGACATCCCCCAAGGGGTCCCGGATTGTAAGAGGGTACAGGTCAGGTCGACGGATCCCAATGGAGCACAAATCCGTGCACAATGCCTCTAAGTTTATAAGAAATAAAATACTAGCCCTAGCAGTTCGGTTCAGTGAATAGAGCATTGGCCTCCGTACTGAAGGCTCACGGGTTTAATTCTAGTCAAGGGCAAATACCCAGGTTGTGGGCTCAGTTCAGTAGGGGGTATTGCAGGAAGCAGCCAATCAATGATTCTCTCTCATCACTAATGTTTCTCTCTCTCTCTCTCCCTCTCCCTTCCTCTCTGAAATGAATACAAATATATTTTTAAAAAGGAAATAAAACATTGCCCAGGCCTGGTAGCTCAGTTGGTTAGAGCATCATCTAGATACACCAAGATTGTGGGTTCCATCCCCAGTCAGGACACATATAAGAATCAACCAGTAAATGCATAAATAAATGTAACAGCAATCCCTCTCTCTCTCTCTCTCTCTCTCTCTCTCTCTCTCTCTCCTTCCCTCCCTCTCTCTCTCTTCTCTCCCCTCTCCCCATAAATTTTTAAAAATATATTAATGACATAAATAAATTATAACTACAGGCTTTAGGGTACCAAATGACAAAATAAAACAAGTACTAACAAAAATGGCTAAATTAATATAGCCATTTTCAATACTTCAAATACACACACACACACCAAAAGCTGAAGAATGTTTTAAGATGAAGTACAAGTGAGATTGATACCTTTCAATCCTAACTAACCTGAGAGTGATTAACTCCCTATTGTTTCTCCTTCACTTCTGAAACACTCCTTTATGGTGAAGTTCCTGGAGCACATTACAGTAGTTATACAATATTCAAACAGAAAAGTAATACCTGAGAGAGTTGACGTGGCTGCACGAAGCATATAAAACCATAAGTAGGGACCCCAGGTAAGTTTTGTCTGTAACAAAAAGTTGGGTTAGCAATACTCAAACCTACTCATTCTCTTTATTAAGGCCAAAAGTAAGTAAACAATACCTGGTGAGCACAGAGTAATCTACAGTCAGTACTACAAATAAACTATACTCCAATAAAAAATATAAAACCTTTATAGCTAGAACTCCATTTTATATTTACCCATATCACTACTACCACCTTAAGCCCATGGAATAATCAAAAGAAAGCAGCAGCCACTGAAATGGAGTTGGTAAGTCAGTCTTAATTACTTAAGAGTTGATATTTCAGAGCCTTCCTTTTCCTGCCTGCCATGCTGCTTTCTGTCTTCATTGTTCACCAGCATTATCAGAGAAAGTGCAGTCAACGGAAAGGGGCCTTAAGAAATCATACAGCCGAAACTGGTTTTGCTCAATGGATAGAGCCGTCGGCTTATGGACTGAAGGGTCCCGGGTTCGATTCCGGTCAAGAGCATGTACCTTGGTTGCGGGTACATCCCCAGTAGGGGGTGTGCAAGAGGCAGCTGGTCGATGATTCTCTCTCATCGATGTTTCTAACTCTCTATCCCTATCTCTTCCTCTCTGTAAAAAATCAATAAAATATATATATAAAAAAAGAAAGAAAGAAAGAAAGAAAGAAAGAAAGAAAGAAAGAAAGAAAGAAAGAAAGAAAGAAAGAAAGAAAGAAAGAAAGAAAGAAAGATCATACAGAACACACTTGTGGTATATAGTGATGAAATTAAGGTTCAGAGACATTAAGCAGAATAACAGCATAGCAAATAAACTTTATTAGTGGGAAAATAAACAATCACTAAGTGGCAAGATGAGGTTTTTTAGTTTGTTTCTTTAAGGTCTAAAAAGGAATTCAGACCATAGCTCACTGCATATTTCGTAGGCCAGGGCTATTGGGAGAATTCAACCTCCATTGCACACCTTAATTTTGGTGCTGTAACTCCAAAGAATACTTTTGTGACTTGAAGCCTGCCACACAGGTGACAGTCTGCATCTGTGGATGAAATTGATAATACAAGCATGCTTGCCCAGCCAGTGTAGCTCAGTGATTAAGCGTTGACCTATGAACCAGGAGGTCAAGGATCGATTCTCAGTCAGGGCACATGCCCAGGTTGTGGGCTTCATTCCCAGTGTGGGGCGTGCAGGAGGTAGCCAATAATGATTCTTTCTTATCATTTATGTTTCTGTCTCTCCCTCTCCCTTCTTCTCTGAAATAAAAAAATAATAAAAAATACAAGCATGCTTCACTGTACCAATATTTTTGTTCATCAAAAGAAAAGACATTGCCTGGGTCAGTGTGGCTCAGTTGGTTAAGAGTCGTCCTGTGCACTGAAAGTCACTGATTCGATTCCTGGTCAGGGCACGTGCCCAGGTTGCAAGCTCGATCCGCAGTGCAGATGGCAGCCAATCGATGTTTCTCTCTCACATCAATATATGTTGCTTTCTTTCTCTCTCTCTCCACTCTCCTCTCTAAAAGCAATAAAAATATTTTTTAAAGCTGCCACAATTTAAAAAAGAACAAAAACCTGGTATAGAGTTTGCATTCAATCAAATATACTGTTTTGATATATTGCTCCAAATTTGATATTTGCGGAGAAAAAGATAAACTTGTCCATAACCTTCTTAGCTAAGATATGTTAATGATTATAAGGGCATTAAAAAAAAGCAAATGCAGACTATTTCTAAGACTAAAACCTGTAGACACTAGAAACAACGCTTTCCTTTTTGTTGGTGAAATAGTATCTTCCTTTCCTGAAATCTAAAGCTGACGTTGTTGTAAATTTTAATATTATTTCCTTTTCTTCATGGTTAAGAGAGGGAGATTACATTTTTTTACTTTTAATTACAGTTGACATTCAATATTATTGTTTAAGAATAATTTACTGATTTTGAGAGAGAGAGGAAGGGAGAGGGATCTGGTGTAGGCTCTTGAGCCACCTGTCCTTTTGGTTCAGTAAGATCAGTGTCTAAACCAGGAGTGGGAAAGTCTGGCCCTGCCAAGGCATTAGGAATAAGTTAATTAAAGGTTTAACTAAATACAGCAGGCTAATTTTTAAGTTGATAATTGTATATGGCCCACAAATGATGTTATAAATATCCAATGGCCCTTAGAAGAAAAAAGGTCCCTCTCTACCTCCCTCCCGCCTCAGTCTAATCGAAGGACCCTATAAATTAATTCTGTATAACTGTGTGATGACAGATGTTACTCAAGAATCCTTATGCATTTCTTCAGTCTGGAACAAGTTTGGCTCTTTAGTAGTCACAGCCTGATATTAGCAATTATTTTCTCTAGACACAACCCCAACATATAGAAATCCACACCATTTTCCAAAAGTATGTTTAATCCTTTCCTATATTTAGTCCTTTTTTATACTTTCTTGGTCCTATTATTTACCATGTGTTACACAATTTGGTTCCATTCTCTATATTTCTGCACTGTTCACTTGCTGTAAAAATCATAAGGTAAATACCAACGTCAGCATATCTTAAACAATAGCTCCGAAAATAGCTTTCATCCCCACAGCAGAGACACCTCCTACTCTAAATATAGAAGATATAACAGATTATTTTTCCTGACAGTTTTCAAAGTCATTTGAATGAGCACTGACTGTTAATTTAAAAAATAAAGTTGGCCCTGACCGGTTGCTCAGTGGTTAGAGTGTCAGCCAGTCAATCCTGGGTCAAGAATACGGTGCAGGCTCAATCCTGGCCCTGCTTCTCTCTCTCACACATCAATGTTTCTTTCTCACATCGATGTTTCTCTCTCTTTCCCTCCCCTCCTTCTTCTCCAAATGCCAATTTCTGAGACAGTATTCCTGAAAGACAAGTAAGGTAGTTCTTAGTTTTTATTTACACAAGAATGAATGACTCAACAAATTTAACTAAGAACATACTGTTGTCTTCCCCATTTACTATATATACTATATATATAGACATACACTATATTGAAATATATAGCATATGTCCCAAATGCTTACATTCCTAAAGTGGAATAACTAGGCCAAAAATATAATCATTTGGAAAGCTCTTCCTTCAGAGTGCAAAACTTTACACTAGGAAATTTAACAATATACACAGGGCAATGCATGAGATGCCCATTCCCTAGTATCCTTACCACAGCATATTGTTCTTTTACTTTTTTAAAAAACTGACAAGTGAAAAATGAGCCCAGAAAATTTTGAGTTCTTTATCAGTCCAGAGATGGAAAACGCTGACAACGCCCTGCCATACTAGCAGACAGCAGCTGTGTGTCGCTGAAGGACGCCCAGGACCAAACCAAAGACGGTTGGACCTGTATCAACACCATTTGTCAACCAACCAGATCTGAAACACCATGGCTGACATGTATACATAAGGAACTGTTTGACAATGAAATTGGGACTCAAAAGAACTACTGGCCCAGAAAGGAAATCTAGGTCTCCATTTCTTTTTTAAAATAATTATTGTTGAAAGTATTACGTATGTGCCCTCCGACCCCCCTCCTCACCTCCCAGCTCCCCAACCCCAGGGCTTTAGCACCCTATTGCCCAAGTCCATGGTTATGCCTTTATGCATATAAGGTCTTTGGTTGATTACCTCCCTCGCACCTTCCCCCATCTTCCCCCTGAGATTCTGCACTCTGTTCCATGCTCCCATGTTTCTGGATCCATTCTGTTCATCAGTTTATTTTGTTACTTAGATTCCACACATAAGTGAGATCAAGTGATACTTGTCTTTCTGACTGACTTATTTCACTTGGCATAATATTTTCCAGGTCCCTCTATGCTATCTCAAAGGGTAAGAAATTCTTTTTTACTGCTGCATAGTATTCCATGGTATAAATGTACCACTTTTTTATTCACTCATCTACCGATGGGCACTTGAGCTGTTTCCAGGTCTTAGCTATTATAAATTGTGCTGGTATAAATACAGGGATGCATACATTCTTTCTAACTGGTGCTTTGGATTTCTTAGTATATATTCCTAGGAGATCACTAGATCAAATGACAGTTCCATGTTTAATTTTTTGAGGAAACTCCATACTGTTTTCCATAATGATTGCACCAGTCTACATTCCTACCAGCAGGTACTAGGGTTCCCTTTTCTCCACATCCTCACAAGCACTTGTCATTTGTTGATTTGTTTGTGTTTTTGTTTTTTTAAATAAATCTTTATTGTTCGAATTATTACAGTTGTTCCTCTTTTTCCCCCCCATAGCTTTCCATCCCACCCTCTTCCCTTACCTCCCCCCGGCCACTGTCCTCATCCATAGATGTACAATTTTTGTCCAGTCTCTTCCTGCACCCCACACACACCTTTCCCCCTGAGATTTGTCAGTCCATTCTTTTTCTATGCCCCTGATTCTATTATATTTACCAGTTTATTCTGTTCATCAGATTTTTTTATTCACTTTATTTTTAGATTCACTTGTTGATATGTATTTATTGTTCATAATTTTTATCTTTACCTTTTTCTTCTGCTTCCTCTTCTTAAAGAATACCTTTCAGCATTTCACATAATACTGTGTTGTGGAGGTGAACTCCTTTAGCTTTTTCTTATCTGTGAAGCTCTTTAGCTGACCTTCAATTCTGAATGTCAGCTTGTCTGGATAGGGTACTCTTGGTTGTAGGTTCTTGCTATTCATCACTTTGACTATTTCTTCTGGTCTGCATAGTTTCTGTTGAGAAATTAGCTGATAATCATAGGGGTGCTCCTTTGTAGGTAATTAACTGTTTTTCTCTTGCTGCTTTTAATATTCTTTGACTTTTGCTCTTGGCATTTTAATTATGATGTGTCTTGGTGTAGTCCTCTTTGGATTCCTTTTGTCTGGGGTTCTGTGCGCTTCCTGGACTTATAAGTCTATTTCTTTCACCAGGTGGGGAAAGTTTTATGTCATTATTTCTTCAAATAGGTTTTCAGTATTTTGCTCTCTCTCTTCTTCTGGCACCCACATAATTTGGATGTTGGTATGCTTGAAGTTGTCCCAGAGGCTTCTTACATTGTCTTCAAATTTTTGGATTCTTTTATCTTTTAGCTTTTCCAGTTGAGTGATTTTTGCTTCTTTGTATTTCAAATCTTTGACTTGATTCTTGCGTTCCTCTAGTTTGCTGTTGGATGTCTGTATAATATTTTTTATTTCAGTCAGTGTATGTTTAATTTCTAGTTGGTCCTTTTCCATATCCCCGAGGGTGTCTCCCATATCCTTGAGGGTCTCGCTAAATTTATCATCCTTTTCTAGGAAATTCTTGAAAAACTGTGGTATGGAACTCTATCTCCAGTCATTTGTTTTCCTCCATTTCTTTTATTTGTGATCTGTTTTTTTGTCTCCACATTTTTGCTGCTTCCCTGAGTTGGTAGGATGTCTTTGTGTGTTTGATGTCCTATGTGGGCCAGTGGCTTGGCCTCCCCAATTACCTGAGGTGGACACTTGGTGCACCTCTTTGTGGATTGTGTGTACAGCCTTGTTGTAGTTAAGACTTAATTGTTGTTGGTATCAGTGGGAGGAGTTGACCTCCAGGCCAACTGGCTATGAGGATCAGCCGTGTTTTGCCAGGAGACAGCCTTATTTGACTAGACTTGTGAAACTGCAAAAGCCTCTGTGCTCAGCTAAGATTGGGCGGAGTTTCAGGGTGGAGCAGACAGCCTTGGCTTCCTGTCAGCCCTGCTCTATCGCTGCAAGCACCTTTGAGAAAAAGACGCCATTGAATTTCGCCCGCTGCCAGACAGTCTAATCTTTCCAATGAATCTGGATTCCCAGATTCTTACCCAGAACTGTGGTTCAGCACAGTCTGGAGCTTTTGTCTCCTTCCCAATAGGGCAATCCAGTGGCACAGTCAACAGTCTGTCCTCTGTGCGCATTCAGGTGCATGCCTCCAGAGTTCTGCCTTTTGCCACTCCCCTGAGTTTCCACCTTACAGCCCAGATTCTGGGGTCTCGCCCGGAACTGGGGTTTAGTGCAGTAGGAACTAGAGTTCAGCGCAGTTCAGAGCTTCTATCTCCTTGCTGCTAGAGAACGCCAGCCAGGCACTCAGCCGCCCCGTCCTCTCGGGCTCCATCCTCCCCGCACGTGCTCACACATGCACCCATGTCTCTGTACCTCGGGCTTTTACAGCTCCTCTGATTTTCCTTGTGGTTTTCTCTTTCCTTCTCCTTGTAGAATTTCCAGTCAGTCAGCTTTCCTATGGTTCTGGACGATGTCTGTTTTGTCTTTTAGTTGTAGTTTTGAAATTGTTGTACGAGGCTGCAGTTTAGGTGTTTACCTATGCCACCATCTTGGTTTCTCCTATTTTGTTGATGTTAGCCATTCTGACAGGTGAGAGATGGTATCTCATTGTCATTTTGATTTGTATCTCTCAGATGATTAGAGACTTTGAACATTTTTTTCATATGTATCTTGGCCATCTATATGTCCTCTTTGGAGAAGTGTCTATTTAGGTCCTTTGCCCATTTTTTATTGTATTATCTTCCTTTTGTTAAATTGTCTGAGTTCCTTATACATTTTGGATATTAACTCTTTATCAGATGTATCATTGCCAAGTATGTTCTCACATAGGGCTCTCTTTTCATTTTGTTGATGATTTCTTTTGCTGTGCAAAAGCTTTTTATTTTGATGTCATCCCATTTATTTATTTTCTCCTTAGTTTCTTTTACCTTAGGAGATATATCAGAAAACATATTGCTACAAGTAATGTCTGAGGTTTTGCTGCCTATGGTTTCTTCTGATATTTATGGTATCATGACAACATTTAAGTCTTATCCATTTTGAGTTTATTCTTGTGTATGGTGGTCTAGTTTCATTTTTATTTTTTTTTTTGCATGTATCTGTTCAATTTTCCCAACACCATTTATTGAAAAGACTATCTTGACTCCCATGTATGCTCTTTCCTCCTTTATCAAATATTAAGTATAATAGCTTGGGTTGATTTTTGAGTTCTCTGTTCTGTTCCATTGATCTATATGCCTGTTCTTGTGTCATTACGAGGCTGTTTTGATTACAGTGGCTTTGTAATATAACTTGAAATCTGTTATTATGATCCCTCCAACTTTGTTTTTCTTTCTCAAAATAGTTGCAGTTACTCGAGGTCTTGTTTGATTCTATATAAATTTTTAGAGTATTTGTTCTAGCTCAATGAAATATGCCATTGGTATTTTAATAGATATTACATTGAATCTGTAGATTGCCTTGGATAGTATGGACATTTTAATGATGTTGATTCCATTTCTTATTTTCTATCAAGTATACCAGGAGTATTATTAAGTCTTCATTTTAAATGTCAGAGTTTAAAAAAATATTGAGTTTGTTTTACAAATCTACTACCCTGTTTCCCCCAAAATAAGGCAGTGTCTTATATTAATTTTTGCTCCCAAAGATGCGCTAGGTCTTATTTTCAGGGGATGTCTTATTTTCCCATGAAGAAGAATACGGTACACATTTATTGTTAAATGAAAATAAAGAAATTTATTACCTGTATACGGTACAGTAGTACAATAGTTGTCAACACAAACCAGACAAACTATGAATCCTACAGTATCAAGAATTTACTCATTTATTCAATGACAATCATGTCATCATCTTTTGGAACATCGTAATAACAACCTAATTCCTGAATTTCCTGGTGAATTTCTTGCGACCCCATTTCTTTCAGAATCAGTGAACCAAATCTCTCATGTTTAGCCTACAAGGGGCCTTATTTTCGGGGGAATGCCTTGTATTTCACTCAGAAGGAAACCTGTAAGTAGGTCTTATTTTCAGAGAGATTCAGATGTCATATTATCTAAAAATACTATTTTCTACCAAAATCATAATGCATAATTTTATAATCAGAATATAGCTGATTGAAACCTCAGAAGTCCCCTTCCATTGAATGGGGAAACAAATCAATCTAAACAAAACCTACTGACACACAAAAAATCACTAGTATCAAACCTACCGGATCAACAGTAGGCAAGACATCTTTCTTTTCCAGGCCATCGACTTCATCTTCATCCGTGCTATATTCTTCCATTGTCTCACCACTAACAAAGTGGATGACTCTCCTTGGGACTTTCTTCTTTTTTCCAATGACTCCCAGTTCTACATTTTCAAAGCTTCTTTCATTACTCATCTAATGTTGATAATAAAGTAAGAAAATGAGAGTTTCAAGTGAGATTAATATTCATTCTTATGACAAAAAAAATTCCAGGTTGCTTTATTTTAAGGAATAAAGAACATAAGCCAATTCTTAAACAGTTTAAAAAAAAAATGAAACAGATCATATACACACAAAAGCATCAATAGCATCTAAAAAGAGTTTAATAAAGCAAACATCTGCATACTCAATAACAAGGTGAAAAAAACAGAACTTAACCAATTAAGTTTAATTTTGTTTAAGTCAACAGCTAAGAAATCAAGCACCACACTTCAAGTCATAGCAATTCCAATACTGTATAATATGTGAAGACATTCTGAACATCAATCATTTTAAAGACTAACATTATGGCTGAATTAATGTGTAATATCAAGAGAAAATCATTTGACACATACACATGTTAAATACCGTACATAAAATAACAGTTTATATTAAGAAAGTCTAATAAGTCTTTGAATTTGAGCTTAGCTATGTGTGAGCAAAACAAAACCAATTCAGCTTAAATCTGAAGCTCTCCTTTTCACAAAACAGGAGTCCTAAATTCAAATGACTTTTAGAGCCAAATAGGTACCAAAATAAATCAAGCTACAGATGGCAGGATAGATGCTTTAGAGAAAGCATGACTCAAATAAAGACATTAAATTGAAAATAATTTTAAAGCACTGTGTAGGTCAAATAAAATGCATTTGTAAACCAGATCTGGAAACAGGCCATCAGTGTTTTATCTCTGACCTTTCAGATTTCTTAGTCAATAAGATACAGGTGACAATAGAGTTTTCCTGATAGTAAAATATTTTACAAACTTTTAAAGTATAATACTTAAGTCCACAGAATTCTAATTATATCCAAGTTCCACTCCTACATATATATAGCCATGTGCCAAACTCAGAGTAAGTGCAAACTATGGGAGAATATTTTCCCTTTTACCTTGCCTCAAGTTTAAATTCCTAAGAAAGCCTTCATTGAATCTTCTTACCTGAAGATTTTGAAAAGGCACAATAGTAATAATTGTGAAGGGGAAAAAAATCTGGCAACGGTGAAAATGGGGGAGGAGGTATAGGTAAGGGAATGGTCAAGGGGGCTTTTTATTCACGTTTTTTGTTTTTGTGATGAGCATATGCTCATATATTACTGATACAATTTAAAAAGTAAACCAAAGCAAAATGTACAGGACTACAGAACTGGCACAATTAGAATCCATGTCTATAGGATTCTCTAGGATAGTCCAGAGTTTAAAAATTTTGTCCTCTATAAGGATTCTTAAACTTGTAAATATGACCAAACATAACTTAAATCCATGATTACTGTTCAAATAAGTTTTCTGAACTACATTTAAAGAGATGGGACTGTACTGATAACAGTGGACTAGAATTACCAAGTTATGTAAGTATAAATAACTTTACTTTTATGCACTGTTCCTCTTAATCTTCTAAGGTCCCTCTTAGAAAATAGATATGGTTCTTCTGTGTCATTCACTTGCTAAAAGTAAATTTAGTAATTAGCCAGGATTTGAATCAAGATACAGTATATTCAACCCAAAAAATTCAGGCATTCATTGTCCCATGAAGCACATGGTCATTACTGACAGAACTATCACTGCTGTATATCCTAGTAGCAAACTGAGATCATGAAAACTCTGCTAGCATGGGCTATCTATGAATTAATCTTTTAAAATAAATTTATTAGCCTGTCCCAAAGGCTCAAACAAATCCCAGCCCTTAATAAAACACACACACACACACACACACACACACACACACACACACACACATACACACACACAATCTATTTATTGTGTCCATTAAAAGAATAGTCAACATATGGCGATCCACATCTCCTTCCTTTCTTCTATCCCTGATCCCTGGCCACAGTAATCCTTCCTACCCATTCCCATATTACCCCTGGGTAATAAGATTTGGTTTGGATTGTCTTGACATCAAAGTCTCCTTTTGGACAATGACTTTTTGGATTCACTTATAGACAAGGGAAAGTCAGAAGAGCTGGTTTAGATTTCCAGTCATCATACTAACTAGATGGATCTGACGCCAAAGCAACAATCCCTGTCAGTGAATAGAGCAGAGATCGTTCACAGTATATCACCAAGCTCCCTTTGCCCCCAACCCAATCTCATCAGAGCAGAAGCAGCTTCTCACGACTCCCTAAGCAATCTCTCAGTGGCCTCTCAGACATGCCTGGAAACTTTTGGGGAACTTGAGGGTCTCCTGAATCAAATGAGGAAGGCTTAGATCTGGATGTGTTAAATCAGTATAGCGCTGAGGTGTTGATCTGTGAGTGCCTTGTGTGGGGTCTGGATGAGGTTGGTTGATCTATTTGGAAATGTCTTTTGTGTGAAGTGTATCCTTGGGCATGTGGAGGTATTATTGATTTGAGAAAATGCTAAGTAACTGACTTACTATCTGAAAAATTTAAAGTTCTGAAAGTTTAAGGTCTCTTGCCAAAAAGAGGTTTTAAAGCTAACACCTTAACTTTAAAGGGAATGACAAGCCCTTCCCACCCAGAACAGGTAATCCAATTCCAACCAGCAGCTATGTTTAAACAATGTGTCCATTTATGGGAGGGGAGTGGACTGACTGTTCCTGGGGAAAGGGAGGGAGGAAGAGACTGAACATAAACTGTGCACCTATGGATGAGGACAATGGGGGGTGGAGAGGGCGGAGGGTGGGGTGGGAACCTGGTGGAGGGGGGAAGAAATGAGGAACCTTTGTAATAATATGAACAATAAAAGATTGATTAAAAAAAAAAAAAGCTTCATACTCATTGAGGGTGGGGAGATTTCTATACAGGAGCAAAGCTAAATTTTTAATAGCCAAAAATGTATACAATTGAGCAGGTTTCAGTTAAAGCAATATTTTCATTACTTTTAACTAGCAAAGATCCTAAACTACCATTTTAGAGTACCAAATTCAAAACAAATTAAAACTCCAAACCTTACCTTAACTCTCTAAACTTATGCTATCCAAAACAGTAATCACTTGCCACATGTGGTTAATTATTGCTTATGTACAATGTGGGTAGCAACTCAAATTGCAGTAGGTTTAAAATGCATACAGGAGGACATAAAGATGGCCAAGAGACATGAAAACATGCTCACAGTCACTAATCATCCGAGAGATGCAAAACGACAGTGAGGTACCATCTCACACCTGTCAGAATGGCTATCATCAACAAAGGACAAGCGCTGGAGAGGATGTGGAGAAAAAGGAACCCTCGTGCACTGCTGGTGGGAATGCAGACTGGTGCAGCCACTATGAAGAACAGTATGGAGTTTCCTCAAAAAACTAAAAATGGAACTCCCATTTGACCCAGAGATCCTACTTCTAGGACTATGTCCCAAGAAACTAGAAACATTAACAATAAGAAAGGATATATGCACCCCTATGCTCATAGCAGCACAATTTTTAATAGCTAAGATATGGAAATAGCCTAAGTGCCCATCAGCAGATGAGTGGGTTAAAACACTGTGGTATATCTACATAATGGAATACTATGCTGCTGTAAAAAAGAAGGAACTCTTACCATTTGCAACAGCATGGATGGAGCTGGAGAGCATTATGCTTAGCTAAATAAGCCAGAGAAATATAAATATTACATGATCTCACTCATTTGTGGAATATAATGAACAACATAAACTGATGAACAAAAACAGATCCAGAGACAGAAGAATCAAACAGACCATCAAACCTCAGAGGGAAGACAGGAGAGGATGAGGGTAAGGGAGAGAGATCAACCAAAGGACTTGTATGCATGCATATAAGCCTAACCAATAGACACAGATGTAATACCTTAATCAATAAAGAAAATAAAAATAAAATAAAATAAAATGCATACAGGATTTCAAAGGCTGGCACCAAAAAGAGAATGAAAAATATCTCACTGATAACTTTCACATTAATTACATGTTGAAATCTGTGTTTTGAAAACTGAATTAAATACAACATACTATTAAAGTTCATTTCACTTCATATTAATTACATGTTAAAATTTTTAACTGGGTTAAATAGGATATAATACTGATTTCACGGATTTTCTTTTTACTTTTAAAAAAAATGTTTTTACTGACTTTAGAGAAGGGAGTAGAGAAACATCAATGAGAGAGAATCATTAATCGGCTGCCTCTTGCACGCCCCCTACTGCAACCCCGGCAGGTGCCCTGACCGGGAACCCAAGGGGACCGCCTGGGTCATGGGTCCACAGCGCTCAACCACTGAGCCATAGCGGCGTGGCTCTTTTTACTATTTCGATGTGGCTCCTAGAAAATGCAGAATTTACAAGGAGGCGAGCATTGTCTTCCCATTGGAGAGTGGGACTCTGGGCCTTGGTTACCTGGTTGGTGAAATGGGGATCACTCCCAACACAGGCACAAGCTGTGAGGATTCAATGGAAAAGCCCGCAAACAGGAGCACTTATTCGCTGCCAGCTGAGCAGAGGGAGAGGCCCCGCCGGGAGCTTGCAAAGGGAGAGACCGAGACCGAGAGACTGAAGCCAAGTCACCTGCCTCCGGTCCCTAAGGCCACCGCTGGGGACACGCCCGCATTCTCTGGTCACCGACCTGAGGCTCGAACGTCACCCCTGGAAACGCGGGGCCGCCCCCCCCCGCCATACCGCCGCCCTCCGAGCCTGAGGCGCCGCCAGCGGAGAGTGCGGGAGGGTCCCTTCCTCCCGCCAGCGTTCTGGGGCCGAGGCGGGTACCGAGGCGGCCGGCTCGGAGGAATGCCGGGCGGGCCAAAGGCAGCCGGCGGACCGGCGGGGAGGAGGCCGCGCTCTCGGGACCTCGCCTCGGGCCGCCCCCCGCTCGGCGCCTCGCCCACCTGCCGCGCCGGGTCTCGGAAGGCCGCGGCGGCCGCCGCTCCCGAGGCAGCCGCTGCCTCTCCCGCCTCCGCGCGGCTCCCGGGCTCCCGGTCCATCGTCGCCGCCGCCTCAGGGCCGCTGGCGCCGGCTAGATAGAGCGTGACGGCCGATAAGCCCACCTCCATCCTCCGCCGCCCCGCCCAGCGGAGGACGGAGCCCGCGGTCGGGAAGAGGGCCTCGCCTACGCGTCCGCCTGGCGCCACGCCCGCCTGACCGAGCGGGGGCGGGGCCTGTGGACTCCGGCCGGCGGGGCTCGGCAGTCAGGCGCGGCCAGCGCGGCCAGCGCGGCCAACCACCGGCTCCGCGCGGCGGGCGGGGGCGGGGCTCCGCAGCCCCACTTCCGGCCCGCCCACTCGGCGCTCCCAGGGCCCCGCCCAGTGACGTCGCGCCTCGCCGCCTGCACCTGGAGCCCGGGTTGGGGGCTCTGCGCAGCCTCTCACCTGCGTCCGGGGAAGCCGCCCTCCCAGGCTTTGGCCTCTGCGCCCGTGAAAGGACAGCAGCCGCTTAGTGGTCCTGAAAGGCTGGAGCTGAGACGTGGCTGCTGAAAAAATTTCTTTTAAATGTAAGGCGGCTCATGCTACATATTCCATCCCTAACCTGGATGACAAGTCTAGAAAGAAGAGCCTCGAGGGTGAATTTTACTCACACTTGTCTGAAATATTTAAAGGTAACTAGAACTAGACAAGCTAAGGGAGACCTGAAGAAAAGCAGAGGGCAACAACAAGCTTCCATTTTGACAGATGTTAAGTGTGTGTGTGTGTGTGTGTGTGTGTGTGTAGACATCCTAGACTTTCCCCATTTTCTCAGTGTTCCACCAAATTAAAAAGTCACGATTGTAACGATTATTGCATTACTTAACTAGTTGTGGGCATTTCCAGTTAAATGACTTTTTGTAATTTTAGTATGAAACTTTTTACGAAAAGGTCGAATATAAAATACATTATTTTGGCCAAGGAGAGTGGAGTAGGGAGTTTGTTTGGTATTTTAAGTTGCATTTTCATGCCAGTAAAAATTCAGAAATGGTCCCCAAAGGTAAGTCTTAGGATATTTATTCTGCAGCATGGCAAGGGTAGCCATAGGGCAGAACAGCCCTAGAACCATAAATATTACTTTCTCTCCTGTGCCAAGTTTTTTTTTTCTTACGCTCTGCTTAATATTTCTGTACACCTTCCACCCTGCTATAACTATGATGATCTAAAAAAAAAAAAAAAAAAAAAACCCACCCAAAACCGGTTTGGCTCAGTGGCTAGAGCGTTGGCCTGCAGACTGAAAGGTCCCAGGTTCGATTCTGGTCAAGGGCATGTACCTTGGTTGTGGGCACATCCCCAGTAGGGGGTGTGCAAGAGGCAGCTGATTGATGATTCTCTCATCAATGTTTCTAACTCTATCCCTCTCTCTTCCTCTCTGTAAAAAAATCAATAAAATATATTTTAAAAATAATAATTAAAAAACAAACCAAAAACCTTAAAAATAAAATTGGTAATTTGAAAACCATATACATTTTAAACAATGGTTGGAAATTCATCTGTATTCCAGTAATAAAATCAAATTAACTTGTTGCTGAGGTAAACACATTTTATTAACATGATCTGATGCTGTCTCGTGGCATTAGTCAGGGTTTGAGTCACTCTGAAATGGCAAAAACAAACTGCAATAAATTGAAAAGAAAAATAGAGCCAATTGTTAAAGACTTCATGAATTGACTTTCATAAACAAGATAGCTCTACATACATCTATTCAAAATCTCATCCCTCTTAGTGGCAAGAAGAGAACAATCATTTAAAATTTGTAGAATGTTTATAAATGCATTATTTTATTTTACAAATTGGCAATTGAATTACAATTTTCACTGCTGAAACAGAACTCATTTCCAAGGTTTATAAGTTTAATGAAAATTTAAAATGCAAGTCACATTCCAATGTGAACTGAAAGTACTTTCTTTTTTTTAATATATATATTTTATTAATTTTTTTACAGAGAGAAAGGGAGGATAGAGTTAGAAATACCAATCAGCTGCCTCCTGCACACCTCCCACTGGGATGTGCCCACAACCAAGGTATATGCCCTTGACCAGAATCAAACCTGGGACTTTTCAGTCCCCAGGCCTATGCTCTTTCCACTGAGACAAACCTGTCAGGGCTGGAAGTACTTTCTAAGAAGAGTTATCCTTAACACAAATATACAATTGAAGAGCAATCTATTACAGCCAAAACCTATTTAGCTCAGATAGAGTGTTGGCCTGCGGACTGGGGATCCCAAGTTCGATTCCAGTCAAGGGAATGTACCTTGGTTTTGGGCACATCCCCAGTGGGGGTTGTGCAGGAGGCAGCTGATCGATATTTCTAACTCTCTATCCCTCTCCCTTCCTCTCTGTAAAAAATCAATTATATATATATATAAAAGAGCAGTCTATTACAAACAACTCATGGCAACAGAAAAGCAAAGAAATTCTAATGGTTTTAGTTTGGGCATTTACATTTTTGTGATTATTTCCAGGCTCTTACAGGTCAACTAAAAGTGGACAACAGAGCAACATGCCAAATCTCTCCTTTGACTTTATGGTGTAAGTTATACCACTATGACAAAAAATAAAGTCAAGTATTACTCTAATTTATCTATTTGAAAACATGATTGTGGTCTAACTTTATCATTTAATGATGCATACAGAGCTAAATAGGTAAACTTGGATATATTTCTGTGAAGGGCTGGAAAATCAAAGCTGAATAAAATTCAATAACCAGGACTGTCCATCAATTTTTTTTTAAATGAGACTTTCTTGTGATTTTGACATAGTTACATACATATTTTAGTAGAGCTTATTTTTTAAGGTAATCCATCCCTCAAATAGGGAGATATATTTTCATCATCATTGATGACACAAAAATAAGGTGGTAAAAATGCACATTAAGTTGATTTTAAGCATAAAGACATTGTTGACAGTAATGGCTTCATTTATGGAGCCCAATATTCTAGAAACTATGATAAAGGCTTTTCTTGTATTAACTCTTCCTCACAACCCTGAGATATTATTATAATCACCAACATTTTAACACAGCTGATAGGTAAGCAGCAGAGCAAAGATTGAAACCCAGTCTGATTCCAGAGCCCATCCTCAGTGACGCTGCCCCTTTGAGAACAAATATGTCAGAAAATAGGCTAGTAGGAAGGCAAGAAATTCATAGAACAAAGGAACATGCGATATTTGGAAAGATTTGCATGGAAATTAGTAAAATGTGTACATTTTTTAAGTCTATTGTAAGCAATAGCCATTTATATGCTTTAAGTCCCCATCTGTAAGAAACTAATGAAAATACCAAGTAAACTTGTTTTATTTGATGTTACGTGAATACATTTATTTTCATTGAAATTTGGTCAGATTTGTTGTCATGAGAATATACTATTGATATTCAACTACCAGAATTCTGTATATGGCATTAAGTCATAAAATATTAGTTTCTTTATACACAATGCCAAAACGCAGTAATTTCAAGGTTGAAGATCTATGTATCATAATCTGAAGTCTGTCGAAACCTAGAGATCTTTTGACAATAATCTAAAAAACAAGTATAAAGATTTAATAAGGATTTATACCAGTAAGGATACCCTTCTTCTTGGGGCAAGATCATCCATTGTGTCTTTTAAAACAATAAGAAGGAAATTGCAGAAAATACACATCATCTGAAGGATTTCACACTCTCAGCATTTCCTATTAAACATAGTGTCAAGAAACAGGCTATTTCTTGTACCACATCTGCCAGAAATGAAATTCTGAACCACTTAAATGATTTCCCAGTCAAAATTATTGGCCCATGAATATATCTAATAGCAACTCCTACCTCCTTTGCCACTGAGGAGCCAAATTCCCCAATTCTATTATGAAATGTAAAAATCAAGCAATCGTCCTATCTAATAAAGAGGGAATATGCTAATTGACCATCACGCCCTCACAAATATGGTGGCGTCCACAGCAAATAAGATGGGATTATGCTAATTGACTGTCACGTCCTTAAAGATGGCAGCACCCACAACCACAGGATGGTGTTGCCCAGTCCCCTTAGCCCTGCCAGGGTGGCAGGCACATGGCATGGCCGAGCCCGCCCCCAGGCTGGCCTGGCCTCTCTGCATGCCTATTCCCAGAGTCCCTCAGTCCCCTAGCCACCCAGGGCCAGCCTGAGGTGCAGACAAGCCTCAGATGGTAGCTGCCCAGCCGCCAGGGCCACCCCTCCAGTACATGAATTTTCATGCACCAGGCCTCTAGTGAGTTATAAATTGTGCAGATAGGCAGATATTACATGTTCTCCCTTGTTGCAGATATGGGAACTTTCTCTGGAAAGAGGCTTACAAACCTTTGCCATATGTTGCTTAGGAAAAATAGATCTCAGTCATAGGAGATTATTCTCTTCTGCTTTTCCTAAGTAGATAAGACCTTTAGCAGCAGTGTCAGAAAACCCCAGGTCGGGATTTTTCTTACTGTCCGCCTTATCTGAATTATCCCTCGACACAGGTACTATTGTGTAGTTTATTGACTATTTTTCCATTTATGATGCAACTGCTACTGAGAAATACATTGTTTTAGGCCAGCTATTTTAAATGTTTTTCATCTGATGGCACACATAAACCAACTACTAAAATTCTGCAGCACACCAAAAAATATATATTTTGCAGATCTGTCAAAGAATTGTTATAATTTTAACAGATTTAAAAAAAAAAAAAGTAATTACCTATCCTTTTTGCTTCAAAGTAACTTTTTAAAAAAAATCATTGGTGTTTCTAGCTTCTGTCCCTCTCCCTTTCTCTCTGTAAAAAATCAATAAAATATATATATTTTTAAAAAAAAAACAGAACACCTTATTATGCAATGTGACCAACAGAGTCAACTCTATTATATGACCTATACAATTATGGTTTAAGATAGGCCGTTCACACTAGATGACTATTGTTGTGTTGGCTGTTGTCACTTTTTGTCAGTCTAAGGGAAACGAGGTCAGTGTATCTGACTAAGTAGTCAGGTATTAACATATTTTCAAAATTCTTGTGACACACTGATTGAAAATCACTGTTTTAGGCTAATGAGAGAACCCATTAAACTAAGTGACATTAAAGATATAGCATGCTGTTCAAATAA